GGTTTCTGTCAAGAGCTCTCTCAGCCCCACCTATCTCACAGGGTGTCTGTTGTGGGGAGGGGAAGGGAAAGGAGTTTGTAAGCCTCTCTGAGACACCTTTGGGTAGTGAAGGGCAGGGTATAAATCCAATCTCCTCCTCCTCCTCCCCCTCCTCCTCTTCTTCTTCTTCCAGCGCTATGATCTGCGTTCTAAGATGGGGTGGCCTGAACTCTGCAGCTGCATCTGCAGCTGCGTCACAACATTGACACAGAGCCTTTATTATGCCAGCAGACTGACTAGCCCAGACTAGCCAGAGCCTGAAAGCTAAGCAGGGTTGGCCACAGTTATTACCAAGGACCACCAAGAGAGACCAGAGTTGCTAAGCAGAGGCAGGCAAAGATAAACCGCCTCTGCTCATCTCTTGCCTTGAAAACCCCAAGACGGGTCGCCATAAGTCAGTTGTGACCAGTGTTCCCTTTAAGCTGAGTTAGTGTGAGCTAGCTCACAGTTATTTAGCCTCCAGCTCACACATTTTTGTCTTAGCTCAGAAAGGATGGCTCCAGAGCAAACCATTTTATGCGGCAGCCAAATCACTCGCTCACAACTTCAATGCCAGTAGTGGCTCACAAAGTAGAATTTTTGCTCACAAGACTCCACAGCTTAGAGGGAGCATCGGTTGTGACTTGAAGGCACTTGATGATGATGATGGCTGTTTGTTGTCTCTCTCCTGCCGATCTCCAGCAAGGATTTTGTGGCCTTCACTGATGCCTCACAGAGTTGGCATCGCTAAGTCATTGTCCACAACCCTGATTAGCCAATCACCAGGTCAAGCCCCATCCATGAATCCGTAAACCTAGAATAGCTTTGTTTGCTTAAATATATGCTCCGCGCTTAACATTTCACAATTGAAACTCCACGTTTGCCTGGTTGTTACTCATTTGATGTAAGTGGTTTTCTGTCTTCATTTTGGTTTTAAAAACAATATCCTCTTCATCCCCCCCCCCCTTTTAGTATACCCCTCGGCACCATGACCAGTCATTTATTTCTCTTTGCCAGGGAAGTGGCAGGAGGCAGCAGGGCATCTGCGTAGCAGCATTCAGGCTGTAGAAGCCCATTACGGGCCCTCCAGCATTGAAGTGGGTCAGGAGCTCTTCAAGTTGGCACAAGTGCTCTTTAACGGGTAAGCACCCACCCACACACACACACACACACACACGCATCACAGTACATCATGTAGAGGAGGCCTGGCTCAGCGGAAGTGCCTCTGCTTTGCCTGCAGAAGGTTCCAGGTCCAATCCCCAGCATCTCCAGTTAAAAGGATCAGGTGGTAGGTGGTGTGGAAGACCTCAGCCTGAGACCCTGGAGAGTCGCTGTCAGTCTTGAGTACACAGGAGTGATAGTTTTAGGGAAGGGCCACGTCTTAGTGGGATAACCTCTACCTGGTCCATTCCCTGGTATCTCATTAAAAGGATAAAGTTATAGGTGATGTGAAAGACCTCTGCCTTAGAGCCTAGAGACCAGTGTTCCCTCTAAGCTGAGTTAGTGTGAGCTACTGTTGGATCCCCAAGCATCGAGAATAAATCCACGTTTTAAAGAAAAGCAAAATTTATTTCAAAGCGTTGAAGACATACTCAAACACGTTCTTTGTTAGAACTGGGGATACACAGTTAGATCAAGCATAATAAAGGAACTTCAAAAAGATACAGGTCCAATGAATAACTTTCCCGCTGGCGGGCTAAGGAAACGGTTGCGCGCCCAGTCCATGGGAACCAGGCAGGATATTAGACATAACACAGGTGCAGCAGTCATGGGAAAAGCAATAGCCAAGCATTACAGCATCTTCTCCCCCACACAACCTCCAGCAGTTATCTTTTGCATTCCAACGCAGGAGTAGGATGATAGGAACCAAGCCGGGTGCAACAGGGAAAGAATATGTACACAGAGGTCACAGAAAACAGAATGGCAGCTTGCTGACATACTGCCTCCCTTAAAATACACTTACAACACACCTCCCGGGCCGGGCGGGAGATCTCCCGGGCTGGGCGGGAGACCTCCCGGTTTGTCCGGGAACCTTCTGTGGAAACTACGGATCAGGTAAGGGGCCCGAATATCCCCTTCTTCCACCCATTCGCGGTGCTGGGGACCGAAATCAACCCATTCGATAAGGTACCAGAGTTTACCACGTTTCACTTTACAATCCAGGATATCAGCGATCTCAAAATGTTCATCCCCTTCCAAAATGACAGGTGGAGGAGGAGTAGTTACAGGTCTCCATGGAGACGGGCCAGGATCCTTCTTTAACAGGCTCATGTGAAATACAGAATGCAAGGCACGTAAATTCTTAGGCAAAACAACATCAACTGCCACATCATTTATGACTTTGCGCACTTTGAAAGGGCCTATGAACTTCCATCCCAATTTCCTGCTAGGCCGCAGCATCTTAATGTTCTTGGTTGAGACATACACAAGATCCCCAGGTTTCAGATCAAACCCCACCACCCTACCCTTGTCTGCCTGGGTCTTGTAAGCAGCCTTGGCTGCGTCAAGTGTTTGGCATAACAGAGGCCATGCTTTTTGCAAGGACATACACCAGGTATCAGCATCCCCCACAGGACGTTGGCCCATCCCCTCCAAGAAAGGGAGGGGGGGGCTGTCGTAACCAGAGACAGCTTTATACGGAGACATGCCTGTGGAGCTATGGACAGTATTATTATAACAATATTCAGCAAGAGGCAATAAGTCACACCAATCATTCTGTTGATAATTAGTAAAACAACGCAAATATTGTTCCAGGGTCTGATTAACTCGTTCCGTCTGTCCGTCAGTCTCGGGATGATACGCGCTGCTGAGTCCTTGTTCCACCCCTAAAATGGAAAGAAGTTCCCTCCAAAATTTAGAAACAAATTGGGTCCCCCTGTCAGAAATTAACTTAGTAGGTAATTGATGAATTTTCACCACGTGAGACATAAACGATTTCGCCAACCTTTGAGCTGTAGGCAAGGAAGGAAAAGGTACAAAATGAGCTTGTTTAGAAAACAAATCAACAACCACCCAAATGATAGTGTTCCCTTTGCTCGCAGGGAGGTCAGTAATAAAATCCATGGATACCACTTCCCATGGTCTCGATGGAGTAGGGAGTGGCTGTAGAAGACCAGGAGGCTTGCCCAATCTGGGTTTAGTCAAGGCACATGTTTGGCAGGACCGAACAAACATCAAGAGGTCTTTGCGCATATGTGGCCACCAGAACTGTCTGCGGATGAGTTGTAGAGATTTAACAAAACTCCAATGCCCTGCCAGTTTCGAACCATGAGCAGACTCCATCACCTCCCTCCTCATTGAAATAGGCACATACAGTTTGTCTCCAGAATAAATCAGACCATCAGGGCTACGGACACAATCAGGCAACGTTGTCAGGGAGGCATCATCCTCAACAGTCAAAGCAGACAGATATTTTTGGACCCAGGCCCCCCCCCCCACAGGGAAAAGGGAAGGCGTAGTCTCATCAGAGTGTGGAATTGCCCGCGCTTGCGCCCTGGTGACCACGGCCCCCCCCAGATGGGAGGGGGAAAAGACAGAGTCCATGATGATCTCACGCTGACTGTCATGTTGTGGGAGGCGTGAAAGCGCGTCAGCCAGGGAATTCGCCGCCCCAGGGAAATGACGAAGAGTGAATCGAAACTTAGCAAAGAAGTCCGCCCAACGAAGTTGCTTAGCGTTGAGAGAACGGGGGGATTTCAGCATCTCCAAATTCTTATGGTCAGTCCAGACTTCAAATGGCAGTTGCGCCCCCTCCAACCACTGCCTCCACGTGGAGAGAGCCAGCCGGATTGCTGACGCCTCCTTTTCCCAAATCCCCCAGTTTCGTTCAGCGTCAGAAAACTTTTTAGACACAAATGCGAGGGGATGTAAACGACCATCCTCCCCCTCCTGCAAAATCGCGGCCCCCATTGCCACATCCGAGGCATCAGTTTGGACAATGAATTTCTTAGTTTCATCAGGGCGCGCCAGCACTGGCTCAGAGGTGAACATCAGTTTAAGTTTCTCAAAAGCCTCTGCGCAAGCAGGGGACCATTTAAGCGGGGCGCCTGGTTTCGTAGCATCAAACCCCTTTCCCTTGGTTTTGAGCAAATCAGTCAGGGGAAGGGCAATTTGAGCGAAATTCTGGATGAAATTTCTGTAAAAATTGGCAAATCCGAGGAACATTTGCAATTGTTTGCGGGTCCTGGGGGGCTCCCAGTCAAGTACAGCTTGAATTTTAGCAGGGTCCATTTCAACCGTCCCCCCAGAGATGCGATAGCCCAAAAAGTCAATGCATGTCTTGTGGAATTCACATTTTGACAGCTTTGCAAACAAGTGGTGTTCATAAAGTCGTTTAAGGACCTTGCGCACCAATTTAATATGCGACGGGAGGTCCTGAGAGTACAGCAACACATCATCAAGGTAAAGGACCACTCCCTTGAATAGAAACTCATGTAGGACCTCATTGATAAGGTTCATGAAGACCCCCGGAGCCCCTTGAAGGCCGAAGGGCATAACGAGGTACTCAAACTGCCCCAAAGGGGTATTAAATGCAGTCTTGCTTTCATCCCCCTCCCGGATGCGCACACGGAAATATGCATCCCGGAGGTCAAGTTTCGAGAAGATTTTGCCCTTGGTGGCCTCAGCTACCAAGTCCTTGATTAGCGGGAGGGGGTAAGCATTGGATAAAGAAACAGCATTCAGACCCCTATAATCAGTGCACAATCTGAGCCCCCCGTCTTTCTTCTTTCGGAAAAGTACAGGCGCGGCGAAAGGGGAGGAAGCCGGGCGAATGAAACCTCGGGCTAGGTTTTTATCAATAAAGTTCCGCAGTTCAACTTTCTCAGCCGGCCCCATCGCATAAATTTTACCTTTGGGCAATTTACAGTCAGGCAAAAGTTCAATAGCACAGTCAGTCGAGCGATGGGGGGGCAATTCGTTAGCTTCCTCTTCGCCAAACACTTTCGCCAAGTCTCTATACTCTCGAGGCAAAGAAGCTAACTCTTCCGGTTGCAAAGTGCCGCAGGGGAACTGCGCGGTCGGCTGGTCCCCCCACGAGTCCACCCAGCAGTGATTTACACACTTAGCCGACACAAACTTGACAACCCCTTCTTCCCACAAGATGTAAGGGTCATGGGTAAACAACCAGGGACTCCCCAGAACTAAGTCGAATTGCGATTTAGGGGTGACAATGAAGGATCTGGATTCCCAATGATCGCCCGCCCCCAGCCGCAAAGCCATAGTCTCGTGCGTACAAGGTTCCATGGGTGCCCCATCCATCTGGGTAAAAATGATGGGAGACTTCAAGGGGGCTATCCCCGCTTCCAGTGCCAACAACACTCTAGGGCTGATGAGATCCCTCCCACACCCAGAATCAATCAACGCTCTCACCCTAACGTGGGTTCCCAGGAGCGGATTCATTAATGAGACAGTCACGAAAAATAGGGAAGGGGTTTCTCTCACCACCTTGGGCGCAGCATTAGAATGGCCTTGTCGTTTTGCGCCTCTCACAACAGGCCGTTGTCGTTTTCCGCCGTTTCAGGCACCACCTCTTCTTCTGACTCGGCAGCAGACGGATCGTTCCCCTCCGAGCCTTGGGCCGCCTGCAAAGCTTTGGAGAAACGCGGTTTAGCCATTCCCTTCTTCCCCGTCAGCGGTGTCTTCGGGCTTGGAGTAGGCGGCTGTACTTTACGGCTGCCACAATCCACAGCGAAGTGCCCCTTCTCCCCGCACTTGAGACAGAGCCCCATCTTCATACGTAGTTCTCGTGCTGATTCCGACAGGCGTTGAGGCTTGGGTTTGGAGGCACCGGCAGCGGCGGGTCTGTTGGTCGTAGCAGCCAGGTCGAGTTTGATGGTGGTGAGCCGGTCTTCCGCATTTTCAGCTTCCTGGGTCCAGGCCATTAGGGAGACAGGGTTGACAGTTTTCAGAACCGTTTCTCGGATATCTGCGTTGAGACCCAAGCGATACATCTCAGCTAATATATGGTCAGGGTAGTCTCGGAGCTTTGCGGCTTGCTTGTGGAATTCCAGAGTGTACTCGCGAACCGACTTCTTGTTCTGGCGATAGGTGCGGAGAAACGCTTTAGCCCTTTGACTCGCGTTGACATCTTCAAATCTCGCCCGCAGCGCCCACATGAATGCTCGCAAATTCAAAAGTTCCGGACCGCGGTCATTGTGCAGTCCAACATACCATGTGGCGGCGTCTCCTTTCAGTCTTGCCGAGATGACATCAATAAGACCAGCTTCATTTCGGAACAGGTGTCGACTTTCTTCTACGAATTTATGCACCCTCACCGTGAAGAAAGCGAGTTCATCTGGGTTGCCGTCGAAGGTAGCCTCCAGTAGATCCTTGGGTCTGGGCCGTGGAGGCCTTACCAACGGGCCCAGCTGAGCCGGAACTCCCCTGGGAGGGAAACCCGGCACAACCGGTGGCCCCGCTGGCATTGGCCTCAGTGGTGGCGGCAGACCCGGCACCGGCGGACCCCCCGGCATCGGCGGTTGCACAGGCACTTGCAGAGGCGGTCTCACTGGCGGCTGTACAGGGACCTGCTGCGCTGGAACTCCCGGTGCTTGCAGCGGTGGTCCCGTCAGCGGTTGAGCAGGCATCGGCGGCGCGGGAAGTCCCGGTGCAGGAGCAACTTGTTGCTGCGCGGCGTGTGCGTCAAGGAAATTAGCCATTCGAACGTCCATCATTCCCGGCAGACCTTCCATCACATCCTGGAATGCCCGCAACAAGTCTCTCACCGAGTCTTCCAGTTCTGCTAGTCGTTCCCCGGTGGTTTCTTCCGGGATGGGGTCCCGAGGGCGGTAGTCCGGGGGTGGGTCATAGTCCTCTTCCGTTGGGAAGACTCCGGTGCCCTCCTCATCTCCTGCGTGGCCCCGCGGTCCCGACGGCTCGAACATCCACTCCTCGAGGTCCCGCTCGGGGCTCCCCTTCTCCGAGGTAGCCCCCGGCTCCGGGAACAATCCCTTGTCAAATAGACTCTCACGTAATCCGCTCCCCCGACGGGAGTACACCTCACGGGTGCCCTGGGTGTTGTACATAGTCCAATCATCCTGCTGGTGAGTCTTCCGCGGACCCCATTGCGAAGGGGTCGGAGGCGGCCAAGACAGATGTGCAGGCAGGCGGGGAATCGCTCCCCCCACGGCACCCTCCAACGAGGCTGCAGTCGTGAACACCAAAGACGCGGAGGTTTGTGGGACCGATCCAGAGTCCCCCTCCGTGGTAGGTAGGTTTCCCTCAATTCCGCTCATGATCTCGCCAGATTCGGAACGATAGGAAAAAGAGAGTTCTAACAATATGTTGGATCCCCAAGCATCGAGAATAAATCCACGTTTTAAAGAAAAGCAAAATTTATTTCAAAGCGTTGAAGACATACTCAAACACGTTCTTTGTTAGAACTGGGGATACACAGTTAGATCAAGCATAATAAAGGAACTTCAAAAAGATACAGGTCCAATGAATAACTTTCCCGCTGGCGGGCTAAGGAAACGGTTGCGCGCCCAGTCCATGGGAACCAGGCAGGATATTAGACATAACACAGGTGCAGCAGTCATGGGAAAAGCAATAGCCAAGCATTACAGCATCTTCTCCCCCACACAACCTCCAGCAGTTATCTTTTGCATTCCAACGCAGGAGTAGGATGATAGGAACCAAGCCGGGTGCAACAGGGAAAGAATATGTACACAGAGGTCACAGAAAACAGAATGGCAGCTTGCTGACAGCTACCTTGCCATTTTTTAGCCTCTGGCTCACACATTTCTGTCTCAGCTCAGGAAGGAGGGCTCCAGAGCAAACTAATTTACGCAGCAGCCAAATCGCTCGCTCACAGCTTTCATGCCAGTAGCTCACAAAGCAGAATTTTTGCTCACAAGACTCCACAGCTTAGAGGGAGCATTGCTAGAGACCCATTATCAGTCTGAGTAGGCGATACTGACCTTGATGGACCAAGGGTCTGATTCAGCAGAAGGCAGCGTCATGTGTCCAAGTCTTTGTCGCTCTGGTGTGATCCATGCACTACGCACAGAGGCGCGAGGCCTTGAACTCCTCCCAAGGATGCTCTGGCAAAAGCAGCTGCCAGTGTCAGGCCAAAAAAGGCACAAGCGGTCCTGTGGTTCAGACGTTCCCTCTCCACCCCGAAAGCAGGCTTCTTGGGCTCCTTTTGAAATACCACATATTGCTTCCCCCCCCAGCAAAAAGGGTGTTCAAAGCCCTTTTTGGGGTCCCATGGGAGGGAAGGGTTTCCCCCTCTGTCCCCTGGAGATCTCAACGCTACCTCTTTTTCTGACTAGGTGTGCCGTGCCAGAAGCCCTCAACGCTATTCAGAAGGCCGAAAGGATCTTGTCTGTGCATCTGGGTCCTCGGAGCTCCCAGGTCCAAGAGCTGCAAGAGATGAAAGCCTGCCTCCGAGAATCGCTGGGTGCCTCTGTTGCATCTGGAAGGTCATGGCCATCATAGGGAAACCCACACACCATGTGGTAAGGGCTCAGCTCAGGGAATGGAGCAGAAGCGGGACACCACCACCACCCCCTGTCCTTTTTGGGGGCAGATAGGCTGTTGCAGATGGATCACATCCGAAAGAGGCATCAGTCAGTCATTGCGATGTTGCCTGCATGGCTAAACATCACCACCCCTTTGCTTGTTCTCAGAAACTTCAAAGTTTCCCCAAGAACAATGAAGACTGCAGCCATCAGCTATGTGGGGGATGACAACCGTGAAAAGGGGAAGGGGGGGGGGGGGGGGAGTCTGTCATGCTCACAGAACTGGTGGTATCCTGGGCATCAGGTGGGGTGGCCTGGAAGGGTCAGGGGACCCTTCTTGCATCAGCAGCAGCCGTGGGATAGTTGCAGGGTCGGAGGCTGAGCTCCCCCAGCCGGAAGGCTGGAAAGGTATCTTTTCGACTAAGTGATCAAATATTTGTTGTGAGTGGGAGACTGCAGGTTTTCATTTGGGGGCTGCCTCCCCTTCTGGCGGCAAATCATTTGCAGCTCCGAAGGCGTTACTCTGTCACGCATACCCTGCAATGTACAAGGGACTGCTACTGAAAGGGCATGCACTTGCATGCGCGCACACAGACACACAGATCCTGGCTCACTGGTGTGCCCTTGGTAGAGAATGTTGCATTTATTGCCCTGAAAAGTCTCCCTGGATGCTACAATTAGAGTTGATGCAAAAGACACAACAAAATAAAGATAATTATTGCCCATACACACACACATATACACCCTATTGTCTTCCTTTTGGACAGATTTCCTATCAGCTACAAGGTACTGGGGCAAAGTAAAAGGTGGTACTGACCCAAGAAGCTAGTTGGCCTTGGGGCGCGTCGAAAGCAAAAGGCGTTTTATCGCAGCGCATCAGGCACAATGCTGCTGGGGCACGGGAGGCGTATGGAGAACCATCGGCCCACTTCCCAGGTGGGCTGCTCTGGCGGAGGGAGGGGGCCTAAGTGCTTCTGGGGTCAAGGATTTTCCCAATGAAGAGGAGAGCTCCTGTCTCACTGTCCTGGACCACCAGCAAGAACGGTCTGTCCAAGTGGTAGTCTATGTGGAAGCTCGGGCAGGGGGTCTCCGCCGCCCGTGGTGGGGGCACTGATCCGACCCCGTCTTCGTTCATTTCCAGGCTGGCTTTGTGCTGCACGTGAGAGACCTTGATGGCCTTAGCAGCGATCTTGCTGAAGTCGGGGGTCTCAAAGAGCGCCTGGAGCCCTGCAAGGAAGGAGCATGTTAGAGCAAGGCAGGAGGCAGAGCCAGGCTACGTCTCTCTTGCTCCCGGCAGAGGAGCAGCAAACAAGGGGAAGAACTGGAAAGGTTCCTGGGGGCAGCTGTCAGCCAGAAGAAAACTGTCTAGTATGAAAAAATATATACAGATGTGTGCTAGATGCCCACAGAATAATGCAATGACAAACGAGACTAGATTAAAGCCACAACATCATTTAGTGTCTGGTAGTGAAAAACAACCACTTACTCCTTCACAGAAAAAGTACAAAAGTCAATAAAGGCCCCAGTCACACAGGCAGGAAAATGCGGGGGGGGGAGAGCGTGGCTGTTTGCCCTGGAGCAAAATAACGCGCGGTTGTGCGATCAGACGTCCCGTCGAGGTCCCATCCAGGTCCAGTGGTTAGGGGGGAGGTGCCGATCACAGGACAATCCTGCGGCACAGCAAAGAAGCGGCCTCTCTAGCAAAAGGCTCCGCGGGTTTAACCCCTTCCAGGGCTGCAGAGGAATGCAAACTGTATCCTCCATCCAGTCCCCTCCAGGAGGAGCTTCAGCCAGGCCGCCCTCCCGCCACGCCCCCCCTGCACCTCCCCCTCTGCCGCCGGGTGCAGAGAGTTCCTCTCGAGCAGGCCGAGCCAGGAGTGGGGGGGGGATTACGGAAAAGAGGGGGCTGTGTTGTTTGTTTTTAAACAAAGTGTGCGCATGCACCGTTGGGTGCTTGTGCACATCCCGTGGAGACTTGAGGGGAAAAAAACCTTTTAGCGACGGGACATGGGCGGGCGCCGGATGCCACGACCTACCACCGGAAACGCGATCAGGCGCCCGCCCTAACCCCGTGGTTTCCGGAAACTAGTACCTCTGAGGTACTAGTTTTTTACCCCGCATCTTCGGCGGGAAGCCTCTGGTTCGCCACGGGAGCTCTACGCTTCACAAATGTGGTGCTGTGATCGTGCCCGGAAAATCCGCCTATCTTCCGTCTCTGTAGCGTGGCTAATGCTCCGTGTGACCGCAGCCAAAATTACACATAGCAGTCTGCTCCAAACTCTCTCAGTCAATATCCTTCTAACAGTCTTGTATTCTCAAATTATCTATTTAATCAGGCATAGTCTGGGTCCATTTGACTTTGGCAGCAGCAGCAGGCTTGAAAATAAGTGAGGAGACCTTGCCCAAGTAGATTAACAGAAAAGTAAATCAATTAATGTGTCAACTTGAAGGTAACATTGAGTGTGATTTGTTCCTGAGGAAAGACCAGAGGTCTGAAACACTTAAATATCCGGAATAAGTGTTGAAAGAGAGATTGCATTTGGAGCAGACTGCTTTTGAGAATACAAGACTGTTAGACGGATATCAACTGAGAGAGTTTGGAGCAGACTGCTATGTGTAATGTTATTGACCTTTGTACTTTTTCTATGTAGGAGTAAGTGGTTGTTTTTCACTAAGGTAAAGGTTCCCTTGCTCGAAAGCCAGTCGAATCCGACTCTAGGGTTGCGGTGCTCATCTCTGTTTCCAAGCCGAAGAGCCAGCGTTGTCCGAAGACATTTCCATGGTATGTGGCCGGCATGACTAAACACCAAGGCGCTCGGAACTACCAGACACTAAATGATGTTATGGCTTTAATCTAGTCTCTTGTCATTGTATTATTCTGTGGGCATCTAGCACACATCTGTATATATTTTTTCATACTAGACTGCCTTGGGATTGTGTGTTATTCTTGTGGACAGAAGAAAACTGCCATTTCATGGATGCTGGCTTGGAGTGGGTGATGCTAAGGGAATCCTTGTCCTCTGGATCTTCCAAGACGCCCCCACCCTCCCCAGCCTTCCAATGAAACTGACTTGACAGCAAGTTCAGGGTAAGCAAATATAAATAAGTACTCAAAGCCCCCTGACGGAAGAGGTTTGCACAGGATGTTGTGTGCTCCTAGCAGTCTGACTGAAACAAAGATGTTCATGGGGTCCCAATCGCCACAAGCTGTGCTAGCTAGAAATGAAAGTCCGTGTTCAGATGCAGCATCCTTCTGGATAAGTGGGTGCCAGATACAAACACCAAAGGATGGCCAACCCCCCAGGCCTGGGAGCACCCCTGGGAATCTAGTCACCAGGAGGACCATTCCATCTGCCTGGCTGTCAATGGCTAGCCCTACTCTGGAGCATCCAGTTGGCAGCAGAGCCGATCTGGAGTGACCAAGCATGGTGGCAGCGCCGGCACCAACTCCACCCCGCCAGAGACCTGTGCCCAAGTACGTACGCATTTCCTTGAGAGTGTCAGCCAGGGCCACCTCCGAAGCCAGCTTGAGCCGCGGCATACGCAGGTCCACACAGATGGTCTTCAGTTGCTTGTTGATGTCGTGGACAAACTCCGAGGTGAGGCTCTCTTCAATCAGCGTCATATTCTGGGTCACGCTTTGGGGCAGAAAGAACAGGGCACTGACACTCCCCTCCAGGGGCAACTGGGCAATCTGGGGTGGGAGTCGGAGAAAGCACATGGTCAGGCACTGACATTCCAAAGGGGGGTCAAATCCTCCAGTGACCTCAGGCATCCCACCTGATCCAGCCAGCAGCCCTAAGAGTCTATAGCACCGTGAGCGCCTTCCTTTGTTTTGGCATGATTTGTATCCCCTTACTCATCTTCCTTGTGATTTGGGTTGCCAACCTCCAGGTGGGTATTATATCAAAGAAACACTGTGATGAAAATGACAATAACATTTGGCTTGCTCCTAATCCAAACCCTTGAAATGGAACTGGAAGTAAATAAAAAATATTAATAATTTAAAAATGTTAAACAAAACTATATTCCATTCAGCTTCACTTTTCTTTCCATTCTAAATAACCATATTTGTTCCAGGATAATTTGAGGAAATTAAAAAAGTTAGGCTGCAATAATTTGAAGACAGTAAAAAAAGAAGTTAAGCTGTAACTATTTGAAGGAAGCAAAAAAAGAAGTTAAGCTGTATCAAGAGGCTGACACCTTCCAACGTAGTAGGATTTACTCCTGAGGAAGTCTGGTGAAATGAGTGTGCTCATTGAGGATGTTGGACTTTTCCTTGAAAATGTTAGCATTTCCTGAGCAATATTGTAAAGTTTTAATTGATATTAAATGTTATTGTCATTTTCATCTTTGATATAATTCCCTGTAACTGTGATTGTACCGACTTTTGTAAGCCGCCCTGAGCCTGTTTGCGGGGAGGGCAGGGTATAAATACAAATAATAAATAAATAATCCCTTATTTGGTTTATCCAACCTCCAGGTGGGGCCTGGAGATCTCCCGCGACTACAGCTGATCTCCAGACAACAAAGATCAGTTCCCCTGGAGAAAATGGCCGCTCTGAAGGGTGGACTCTATGGCCTCGTACCCTGCTGAGGCCCCTCCCCTCCCCCAAGCCCATTCTCCCCAGGCTCCGCCCCTCAAATCTCCAGGTATTTCCCAACCCAGAGCTGGCAGCCCTCCTTGTAATGGTAGTTGGCTTGGAAAATGTTTGGGCAAGGGCGGGGGGAGTCCGTCTGTCCAGCCTGCGGGAAGAAGCATGCTTACCAAAAAAGAGGAGTCTCTGGTGTGGTTGGTGTTTAGGTGCAAGGCAGATGCAGCTCCTTGGAAAGTGGGGGTGGGTGGGGGAGTGACTGGTGGGTGGAGGCGGGGTTCCTAGCAGGGTTGTGGGGGGGGGTTTAAATGCTGCCTCAGTCCTCCCTTAGAACATTTTTTCCAAGTGGCCCTGCCTCTTTGGTCTCTGTGGAGCAGCCGCCAGCGCCACACTGTCTCCTTGATTCATAACATCCAATTTACAGATCCCACTCTTGGCCTTTAATTACACTCCTCTCTTGGAACCCGTGGATGAAGTTAGCATTCTTTGAAAATTAAAAGGCCACATAAACCCCAAACAACCTTATCGCAACTAGCCTGATTGTCATTCTCATTTGACACTTCAGCTAGAGAACGTTTTGCTTTCTTTCCAGAAGCTTTTCTGACGTGGACTTTAGAATTCTGGGGGAAGCCACTACAAGTGGTTCTTTCCACGCCTCTGCCACTTATACCCAGCACCAGGTGGCAGGAATTAAGAACATAAGAGCCCAACATCCTGTCTCACACAGTGGCTAATCCAGGGGTGTCGAACTCATCTGTTATGAGGGCCGGATCTGACATAAATGAGACCTTGTTGGGCCGGGCCAGCTATGTGTGCCATAAAATGTAATGCCAAGTATTGGAGATAGAAACTTTATAAAGGACACAAACACAAAGGTGTTTTTTTTTTACTTAAAATAAAAACATGTTTAAAACATTAGCCCTTTTGCAATATTTTGTTTATTTAACAGTCTCTGATAACTGACACCTCTTGCTCTGAATTATTGCATCAAAATGCCTGTGCTGTTTCAATCTTGTTCAGGTGTGTATCTGTAAGCTGCAAACCTATGATGATGCAGCAGCAGCAAAACTGGAAGAAGAAGCAGAAGACAGCCAGTTCCACTGCAGGCCTGATAGAAGCCCTCTGGGGGCCTGATCTGGCCCCCAGGCCGCATGTTTGACACCCCTGGGCTAACCAGTTACTCTGGATGACCAACAACAAGGCTTGGAGGCCGAGTCCTTCCCCCCAGTGTTGCCTCCTGGCACTGGGATTGAAAGGTTTACTGCCCCTGAATGTGGAGAATCCCCTCAGTCACCATGGCTAGTAGCCATTCATAGACCTATCTTCCATGAATCTGTCTAATCCCCTTTTAAGGACAGTTCCTTGGTCAGTTTTAGCTGTTGTGGTGACGGCATTGCAGAAGGAGGGCAGAGGGAGACACCTTTTGTGACATGGAGTCCAAGTGCTTAGGTAGTGGTCCCAATACATGGACACTTTTTACAGAGCATGTAGCCAGGCTTGGCCTTGATGTGGGGGCTCACGTTCAAATCCTGGCCAAGGTTCTATGCATGGCCTTAGGTGGGTAAGAGCCTCGCGGGGTCTTGTCCATGGAAATGCCTTAAAGGGTGCAAGAAAGTCATGTCAAGGAGGAGGAAGAGACAAGAATTTCAAAAGACTTCGAAACGGTCGTGTGAATACAGACCCAGATGAGTTTTGTGCTGCTTCTCTTGGGTTTGCTGGTACTCGGGGTGGGGAGTGATGGACAGACCCCTCCAACCATCCTATGGGGCAGGCGGGGGGGAGCAGGGAGGTACTTCTCTTCCAATACTGACCTTGCAGTTGAGCTCGGAGTCAAAGCCATATTTCACGAGGGCGTTTGAGCCAGTCATCATGGGGATGCTCACAGTCCTGTCCTCATCCAAGTGGAAATTCTGCGGCCTAGTCAGTTTGGAGTCAAATCTGGTCAACCATTTTCCTGTTCGGAGGGGGAGGGAGACTTTTTTGTTAAGGGTTCCCCCAGTTTCCTCCTCCCTTGAGAGAAAATGTTGTTCAGGGATGCTGTGGGAAAAGAAGACAAGCCATGGTCTTCTTCACTCCCCCGTTTGAACCTAACAAAGGGGTGTTCGAGAACCATTCAGGCCACTTGCTTAAAAAACAGTATTAGAGCTGACAAGCAGAGGTCATTTCGGGGGGGATCGGGTGAGGTACGGGGGGCGGGGCACATGGTGAAGCCCCGCCCCCTGCTTCCGGCCGCCCCGCTTCCAGCCCTCATTCAGCCAGGAGGAGGCAGGAGAAGAGGGAGGGTAAGTTGCTTCCTCCCTGCCTCTCCCCACCCCTGCCTGCCTGGGGCCAGGGAGGGCCTTCGCGGGGCTTCCTAGCACTCCCGCCGGCCTTGGAGGTCCACCGCCGGGCCCCTCATGATTCACGCAGTAGCCAAATCGCTCGCTCACAACTTTGATGCCAGGAGCTCGCCAAGTAGAATTTTTGCTCACAAGACTCCATGGCTTAGAGGGAGCATTGCAGAGAATGGATCAGTGGGGAATTAATTCCCAATAAAATGTGGTCTGCCAGTCAAAACACTGTAGGTGGCCAATAAGCAATCCTTTCACTTTCACCATACTCCCAAGTATGGTGTTATTGGAGAAAGTGTTTGGCCCACTAGGCTCCCTATAGCAGGGGAACCCAGCCTTTTTGAGCCTGTGGGCAGCTTTGGAATTCTGACATACAAAATGGCTGCCACACAGCTGCCACGAAATGGCCGCTACGAAATGGCTGCCACACAGGGTTTCCAGCTTCCAGATGGCACCTGGAGATCTCCCGCTATTACAATTGATCTCCTGATGACCAAGATGAGTTCCTCTGGAGAAAATGGCTCCTTTGGATAGGGTTGCCAAGTCCCCCCGGAGGGCAGATAATCCCCCGCTTTGGAGGCCCGGTTTCCGCCGCCGTGAAATCGGGCCCCGGGGGAAACCCCACCCCGGCGTGCGCGTCAGCCGGATGTGACGTGATGACGCCGGGCATGCTGGAGGCGGGGCCACAGCCATTTGAGGGGAAAACTATGTTTTCCCCTCAAATGGCTGTGGCCCCACCCCCAGCATGCCCGGCGTCATCACATCACATCCAGCTGACGTGCATGTGATCAGGACGCCGATCGGGAGCCCCCCGCCGCAAGGTAAAACAGACTTGGCAACCCTACCTTTGGAGGGTGGGGTCTGTGGCATTATACCCTGCTCAGGTCCCTCCCCTGCCCAAATCCCGCCCTCCCTAGGCTCCACCCCCCAAATCTTCAGGTATTTCTGAACCCAGAGTTGGTGACCCTACTACCACAGGAGGCGGAGCCACTAACAAAATGGCTGCTGCCACAGCTTATCTTCAGTCACACAGTGAAGGTCCTTGTGCTGTGGAGGCAGCTGCTGCCAAGGCAACATTTTGAAAAATCTACATCGCCCATCAAATCTCCAATGACCAATCAGAAGCCTTGCTAGGCAAAAGCCCCACCTATTTTCTGCAAACACTTGGCAGATGGTCAGCGGGCACCACAATGGGGGCCCCTGCCCTATACATTGCCCTTGTTTGAGCCTGGTACCTAGATCAGTAATTTTCAAAAGTCAGATGTAACGGGAAGATACCACCAAAAGCTGAAATTTCAGCAAAAATGCAAGGCTCATATGTGCCCTGGTATGATTGTTTACACTTACACTCTGCTATCAATCCTTACTTCGCCAGAAACCACAGAGAGAGGAGCCGGCTGCTTTAGAAAATCCAGTTTTAAATAGAACTGCCCTCTTCGAAGGAGTCATCTCCTTATCTTGTGTACAAGGAGATGACCTTTGGAAAGGGAAACAAATGACATGAACGCTTGGGAACAAATTTTAAGGGAACGATTTAGTTCCAAAATGGCAATCATCTCCTTTGAACTCCAGACACACTGATGCTGTTAAAGAAAGTGAGTTCAGAGGGGTTGGCTAATGGCACCTGAAGTCAACTGGTGTTCACCTACCAATGCAGGTTTGTGCTGTACGTATTGTGAGGTGATTTTCATGGCTGGTGGTCCAGACATACTGGCATAGGGTTCTCCAATGCACAGAATTGCACCATCGGGTACAAAAGATCCTAAAATAACCCTTCTGAATTACCAGAAGAACGATTAAGCTGAAAGAACTCAAAACTGTCGTACAGTGAAGATGTAAACATTCCCGGCACTATAAAAATTGACCGGCAGAGTGTTGGGATCATTTCATAGGTAATAATAAAACAACACAACTTGAGACAAAAAAGTGAAACATATGCGAGCTACTTTCTTGAGAAGTGATAGCCACTTGTTGTATACTTGAGACATTATTATTATTAATAATAAGAAGAATTCAATATACTGGTCATAGAACATGCTCTCTAATATCTTAGAAAGTGTGGGTTTTTTCCCTTTTCTTTGGAATTGCACCCTAATAAAACTGTTCAAATTATACTTGTCTTCTGTCTCCCTCTGCCACAAAATTTTAATATGCATGATACAGCTGATGCAAATGTTTCTGTGGATGTACTGTATTAACTGCTGTTTCTATGAACATGTACGAAACAAATACTTTTTAAAAAATATGTTCCCAGTGCCATCACTGCTGGATCTTCTCCTTCTCCCCATCCCCGCCCTCCCTCCCTCCCTCAGCAGTTTCCCCTTACCTTTGAAGTACGCTGCCCCAAGGAGAAGGATGCTGATTCCATCGGGGATCTCCCGCAGGAACCTGATGACTTTCCCATTGGTCTGCTGCTGCACCCAGTTGTTGGTCTCTTGCAGGTCCACGCGGGGGTTTCCGGTCAATACTCTAGGCCGGAATCCGTACGATTTCTCTAGCTCACTGACAAACCCCATTTTCATTCTCAGTCCTACCAAAGACCAGAAAGCTCATGTATTTGTAGGCCACTGTACCCATAAAAAGCTGCTTTATACTGAGTTAGACCATCAGTCCATCAAGGTCAGTATTGTCTCCTCAGACTGGCAGTGGCTCTCCAGGGTCTCCGGCAGAGGTCTTTCACATCACCTACTGCCTGGTCCTTTTTAAGTGGAGATCCCGAGGACTGAGGCTGGGATCTTCCGCATGCAAAGCAGAGGCTCTTCCACTGAGCCACAGCCCCTCTCCAATCCATGCCTGGAGAAAAGCTCTAAATCTGCAGGGCAAAACTAGCCCATAGATGTGGAAGTTGCTGCCCTGATGGAAAACCACCCACCCACCCTAGGCTTCCAAATAGTTATTTCCCTGCTCACCAGCAGGCAAACCAGATAGGAAAGTATTTCAGAACTTGATTCCCCCCTGCCCAGGCCTGTAGGTTTTGTCAGCTAGGCGTTGTTCACCAGAACTTATTTGCAAAGCTAACTTATGCAGTCCAAGCCACAATACTCCCTAAGTGGAGAACAGATGCCCCAGAGGGGGGGGGGGCTTTCTCCTGCTCTCATGGTGTCCATGTGCTAGCACTGCGATGGGTAGAGTGGGCTGCAGTGTTCCCTCTAAGCTGAGTTAGTGTGAGCTAGCTCACAGTTTTTTAGCTTCTGGCTCACACATTTTTGTCTTCGCTCGGGAAGGATGGCTCCAGAACAAACTAATGTATGCAGCAGCCAAATCGCTTGCTCACAACTTTAATGCCAGTTGCTCACCAAGTAGAATTTTTGCTCACAAGACTCCACAGCTTAAAGGGAACATTGGGGTTCCGGCTCCCACAATTGCCTTTCCCCTGGGGTGAAACTCTAAGCTATTAAGTGAGGACTGAGGTTTCTGGGTGTTCTCGTCACCCTGCATGGTCATATATGTCTAGAGAGCCAGGTTGGTGTAGAGGTTAAGAGTAGCAGACTCTAATCTGGAGAACCGGGTTTGATCTTGGGACAGTCACATGTTCTCTCTGAGCTGTTCTCTCAAGAGCAGTTCTCTCAGAGCTCTCTAAGCTGTGGAGTCTTGTGAGCAGAAATCCTACTTTGTGAGCTACTGGCCTTAAAGTTGTGAGCAAGTGATTTGGCTCCTGCATAAATTAGTTTGCTCTGGAGCCATCCTTCCTGAGCTAAGGCAAAAACCTGTGAGCTGGAGGCTAAAAAACTGTGAGCTAGCTCACACTAACTCAGCTTAGAGGGAACACTGCCACCTACCTCTCAGGGTTTCTGTTTTGGGGAGAGGAAGGGAAGGTGATCATAAGTCCCTCTGAGACTCCTTTGGGTAGTGAAGAGTGAGGTATAAAACCAGCTCTTCTGGGGCTGCCAACCTCCAGGTATGACCTGGAGATCTGGAATTACAACTGATTTCCAGACTACAGAGATCAGTTCACCCAGAGACAATAGCTGCTTGGGTGGACTCTGGCATTCTACCTTGCTGAGGTCCTTCTCAGACCCTGCCCTCTCCAGGCTCCACTCTCAAATCTCCAGGAATTTCCCAACCTGGAGTTGGCAATCATAGCATATGCGGGGCATGCAATGAATATGCTTATCTTAACCTGAGCAAAGTTTGCAATAAGAGGCCTTGTCTCTTTGAAACACGTCTCTCAAAGTAAGGTTTGTTGTGAGAACCAAAGAAAGGCAAACTGCAAACAATAAGCAGGGCTATTTTTGGGCAGGAACGCACAGGAACGGAGTTCCGGCTGGCTTTAGAGTTGGCCACACCCACTACAACCAAAACCTCTGCATGAGTGGCTACAGAGAGAAGGCCTGGAGAGCTACCCCCCCAGTGACTCCGAGTCGGGCAGGCCAGGGGGGGCCTCCTGGCCTGTCCAAGGACTGGCTTGCCTGGGCTCCCCACAACCGTGGGGTGCCCAGGCAAGCCAAGGGAAGGCATGGGGGTGTGGCCTATTATGCTAATGAGTTCCTGCTGGGCTTTTTCTACAAAAAAAGCCCTGACAATAAGTGACTTGTGTCTGAAGTTCTGGCTTTCTGGGGCTGGGCCCGTGACTAACCCACAACCCGTTCGGAAATCTTGTCAAAACAAATATTCTTTCAGACAGAATTCCCAAGGGCCCCTTTAGATGATTTGGTTCATAAGCCAGAAGCCGCTAGTGCATGGAACAGAATTCTTTATGTCCTCCTGCCCCCCGCCCCCATCAGCCCTCACTCCTGTGGGACACAGGCACCACCAAGCTTTACTTCTCTCCATGACGAGGCGAGAGGCACTCTTCAGGCCTTTGGCGGGGGCCACAAGGCTGGCCAGGAGGCCCCGGTAGGTGCTGTGGACCTCCGCCTTGTCGAGCAGGTCGTAGAAGAGAGCACGGGTGATGAGGGTTTCTGTTCGTTCTCCTGCGCCTGCCGACAGCAAAGAAAGGCCAGTGAGATTTCTCTCCCCCACCTTGAGCAACGTTGGACCAAGACGGGACCAGAAGAGAAGACAAGCTCACCCAGCGATAGGGCTGAGAGGGCCGTGGCGACACTGAAGGGCGACAGGAGGACGTTGTCGGTGGGCCTCTGGCTGGACCTCTGGCGGTACAGGTTGTAGCCGAAGTTGGAGATGGAGGCTGCCAGCTTGTTCGCGGGCACCTTGTAAAAGGGGTCCTCCTCTTCCTCTGCTCCCCCAGTGTTATCAGCATCTGGGTTTGCGGGTTCCTTTGGGGCACAGAATTGCTTCTTTAGTACGGTCTGATGATGGGAGGGAAGGAGGCAATAGCCTGATTTGGTCAGTTCTGGGAAGCGAAGCAGGGTTTGGTACTTGGAGACCACCAGGGCTTTTTTTTGTAGAAAAAGCCCAGCAGGAACTCATTAGCATAATAGGCCACACCCAATAGCAGAAACTAATTAGCACATTAGGCCACACCCCTGACAGCACCACTCATTAGCATATTAGGCCACACCCACATGTTACCAGAAGTGTGGTCATCCAGCCACACCAACCTTTTGCTTCTTATCCTGTTTATCTTGTTTGTTGTCAAAACCAAGAGCTTTTTTTATAGCAGGAACTTCTTTGCATGTTAGGCCACACACCCCTAATGTAGCCAATCCTAATGAGTTTCTGCTGTTGGGTGTGGCCTATTATGCTAATGAGTTCCTGCTGGGCGTGGCCAACTCAGGAGCCAGCCGGAACTCCGTTCCTGTGCGTTCCTGCCCAAAAATAGCCCTGGAGACCACCAAGGAAGACTCTGCAGAGGAAGGCAAGGGCAGACCACCTCTGCTTCTCACTTGCCTTGAAAGCCTCTTGCTGGAGTCGCCATATGTCAGCGGCTTGATTACACTTTACATACACATGGTCTGATTATAAGGGCAGTAATGAATGGGGGGAATTGTTTTCTAAGCCCTCAAGGGCCAGAGGGGAAATGCTAGGTAATTCCCAAAATACAAAGGGGAATGGGCTATGTGGGAAGCTTCATCCCAGTTCTCCACATCCTAGGACAAGTAGAGTTGCTAGCTCTGAGTTGGGAAATACCTGGAGATGGGGGGGAGCTGGAGTAGGGCATTGTTTTTTGGGGGGACTTCAGTGGGGTAGAATGCCATAGAGTCCACCTTCCAAAGTGGCTATTTTCTCCAGGTGAACTGATCTCTGTTGCCTGGAGATCAGTTGTAATCACAGGCAGGGGTCATTTCCTGCAGGAGTGCACAGGAGCGGAGCTCCGGCAGTAAAGAGCCCAGGGGGCGGGCACATGCAACAAGCCCCACCCCCTGCTCCCAGCAGCCCCAGGCCACAAGGAGCAAGAAGCAGTCAGGTAGGTTGCAGAACCCTCTCCAGACAGCAATCCAAAACAGTCCTTTGGAGCCTGAGCGGTGGGTGTTGCCTTCTGACATACTTCCGGTGATGTCAGGGGTGTGCGGCATATGCAAATAAGTTATGCTGACGAGTTATGCTAATGAGCTCCTGCACCTCTTTTTCTACGAAATGACCCCGGAGGTCTCCAGCCACCACCTGCAGGTTAGCAACCCTCTAGGACAGATGGCCCGATCCCAACCCTATCTTGCTAGCTTGTGTTCGTGTTAAGCCCAAGATGGCCTTTAAAATGCTGCCGCCTGCGGGATGGAGGCTGACATTCAAGGCGTTTCTTAAAACCTTCCCACCTATCCTGTAAGCTGCTCACCTGCTCAGTCCCCAAGTCCTGGCTTATGCAGGAGGTGGTGAGGAGTCCCAGACACAGAAGAACCATCGGTCCCTGCATGGTGGTGCCTGAAGGGAGCAAGAATGGACAAAAGTAACTTCCGTGGCAAATCCCCAGCCCTTTTCTGCAGCTGGTTCAGTGTGCATTCCTAAACCTCCTAAGGAAGTTTAGAAAACTAATAGAGGGCCAAAAAGTTAAAAACATAATAAGTGTACAAACCAGTGTTTATTACAAAGACATATAAAAACCTAGTAGGGGCCCGAAAGAAAGCCTCATAAAACGTATAAAGTTACAAATACACTCAAAAGAGAACAGTGTATGACCTGATGAGTTTTGGCTCACGAGTGCAAAATATAACAAGCAACAGAGTCCCTGTAACGCATGTAAGGCAATTAACAATAAATAAAAAGGACCAAAATTGGAATGTTCCAATATGGAATGGAATGACACACCAAAAAGTTTCTATTTGGGGCCACAAATATAACTGCCCTTGTGTCAGAAGTTGTTGCATGAACTGGAAATATTAATCATGGCTTGTGTTGTGTTGTGTGGCTCGTTTCTCCCTCCCCCTTGGAGCCTTGCTGGCTTGTGCTGGAGATGCACAGCTAACTCCTACAGCAGGTTCCCCCCAATCTTTTTAAGCCCATGGGCACCTTTGGAATTCTCAGAAAGGGCAGTGGGCACAGACACAAAATGGTTGCCACAGCAGGCAGAACCTACCACAAATTGGTGGCTGCAGCCAGTGTTCCCTCTAAGCTGTAGAGTTCTGTGAGCAAAAATTCTACTTTGTGAGCTACTGGCATTAAAGTTGTGAGCAGGTGATTTGGCTACTGCATAAATTAGTGTGTTCTGGAGCCCTCCCTGAGCCAAGACAAAAATGTGTGAGCTGGAGGCTAAAAACTGTGAGCTAGTTCACACTAACTCAGCGTAGAGGGAACACTGGCTGCTCACAGTTTTTTAGCCTCCGGCTCACACATTTTTGTCCTAACTCAGGAAGGATGGGGCTCCAGAGCAAACTAATTCACGCAGTAGCCAAATCGCTTGCTCACAACTTTAATGCCAGTAGCTCACAAAGTAGAATTTTGGCTCACAAGACACCACAGCTTAGAAGGGAGCATTGGCTACTGCAACCACAAAATGTCAGGGATTGAGGTTATATACAGCTCTAATAGCCATTCGTCTACATTTCAAGCAGAGTCTCTGCTTAATTGGGTGTCTTTTAATCTGCATGGCCAACCAGAAGCCCCGCTGGGGAAAAGCTCCACCTAGCTCTGCCCACTTTCTAAAAGCACTCGGGCGCCAGGAAATGTGTCAGCAAGTGCCCTGTACCGGGCCCCATGTCCCCCCCCCCCCCCCACTCTACAGCAATACGATGTCAGAGTCATGTCGTGAACACTTCCCCCCTCCCCACAGTCCTGAGTATCTCATCTCCTAAGGTGCCATTCTAACCATTCTAAGCCAATTGGCTTTAATGGACTCTTGAAGAGGGCAGTCACTGTGCCTGCAAGAGCAAACGAACTTGGATGAGACCTCAGTGAGATAGAAACCGGCATGACAGCTTGGCAGGTCCCTGGGTTAACCTCTCCCCGCTGTTTGCAAAGGAACTTTGGACTGTTATATCCAGTCCAAAGGACAGACCATAACCCCAGCAGCAATGCCGGCCATATCCCTGACAACTGGCGCCAAGGGGGCTGTGTGGAAACAGCAGTTAGGTTCTTCCAAGCCTACAATTAAAGGGAAGGCAGTCCCAGCAGCTGGGGCAGCCAAATTAGCAGGTTAGTCCACATGAGTTCCAGATACGACATTCTCCTAAAATTAATGCAGCCAGCCAGACGCCCAAAGGTCCAGAAAAGGCAGACCGTTAATGATTCTTCCTGCCACCAACTTTAATTTTCCTCTTAGAAATGTCTCTTTGCAGCTGGGGGGGGGGGGGTTTCCCCTGCCATGTGGCAGGGGCCTATATAGTGTGCTTTGACCAAGAGCTGTATGTATTCCCCATGCTCATCATGAGCTACCTTGCCATCAAGAATCAAACCAGCAGCGTGTGCACTAAATCCCTCACTAACCTCTGTAACATTTAGTAGAATTTTCTTGGTGTTGCAAAATCAAAAAATTCCAGCATAGAGGCATGAGTTGATAACAGTAAGTTCCACAACACCTTGTTGGTGGGGGGAGAAATAAATGTGTGACATTTTCTGCAGCAGCCACACATATTATTTCAAGGCATACTGTTCACAAGAGTACCCTGTCCAGCCACAAGATACTCATACCTTGATGAAGTTTTTGTGGGGGGGGGGGGGGGGGGGAAAGCAGCTTGAGAAGAAATGGGGGGAAACGGGGAAGAAACTGGCAGCTGGGGGAGAGTCTCTTTTTCCGACTGCACTGGAAGACTCGTCTAGAAAGCTTAGCCTACAGGATGCATGCAAAGATGGGAGGGGTAGTGTCTGTTAAATTTAGCCCAATTGCAAAAAAGTTGCCAGCATGTTCTGGTCCCAACCACACTCCGTTTTGGAGAAGGGGGCCTCGGAAGGGAGGCTGGATGTCCTGGCTTGGCCATTGTTGCCAGGTTCAGAATTCCCAGAGTTTGCCAAGAATCTCTGCAGAAGCCTCACTGAGGATCAAAGTTTCTAAACATCTGGATCTGATTAGCACCAAAGCATGCAGCCCAGGAGAAAAACCACAGAAAAGACCTATATTTTAGCCAGAATTTGGATGGGCCCTGGAACAGGGGTTTTCTGAGCTCTCGAAGCTCTGTGAAGATACACCAAGAGGTCATAACGGACAAGGAACTTGGATGCCGAAGGGGTACAGTTCTTAATCAGAAAGAAAATGAGCCACTGGCTGGGTGATGGATGGCCTTTCCCAGCTGGAGATTTTCAACTGATCGCAGGCTCCCATTGGAAAGGGGGACTGTGGCGGAGTTCGGCCAAGCTGAAACTGCCACCATGTGCATAATGCCTACAGATTTGTCGAAGTACAAAACAGAAAAGCTGCCCATGCCAGGGATCTGCATGAACTGACAACGTGCATCTGGCCCTCACTCCCAATGCTCCCTCTAAGCTGTGGAGTCCTGTGAGCAAAAATTCTACCTTGTGAGCTACTGACAGTAAAGTTGTGAGTGAGTGATTTGGCTACTGCATAAATTAGTTAGCTCTGGAGCCACCCTTCCAGAGCTCAGACAAAAATGGGTGAGCCGGAGGCTAACAAACTGTGAGCTAGCTCACACTAACTCAGCTTAGAGGGAACATTGCTCTGGACTCCTGTGTATTTCCTCTCAAGCAGCTAAAACTTCTTGTGCTGTTGCAGACAGAGATGGCCTAAGTGGGAAACCACGGTTGGCGGCAGGAAGAAAAAAATGAACACTCTGCCTCTTCTTGGATGAAGAATAGCACCCTTTGGGGTCGTCCCCTACCACACTGCCCCTGGTGATACTTCCGCACGTCTGCCTTTTTGTATGGGCAGGAGTCCAGTCCCAGCACCTGAAGGATGAACAGCACTTATTCCACCATACACTTCTGTGAGTTGATGCTCATTTCACGAGATGCATGCACATAGTTCTGACAGCACACTAAAAACTGCAAACAACAGAATGATGGGCAGAGGGGGGGACACGTTACAAAGAGAGGCAGAAGAAATGTATCTGCAGAAATGTGCGTGCACATGAAAGCTTATACCTTGAATAAAACTTTGTTGGTCTTAAAAGGTGCCACTGGACTCAAGCTCTGTTCTGTATCTGCCTAATGGGTGTATGCTTCAATACATCTGATGAAGAAACGTCTGACTCATAATTTCCCATTAGCCTTTAAGGTACTGCTGGACCCCTGCTTTATTGCTGCTACAGACTATCTGGTATTATCATTCCTGCTCTGCCATTCTAGCAACTCTCCAGGCATACCTGCCTATATAGCTCCCTTTGCCCTGTGGCCACTAAACATGCAGGAACGAATCTGGATTGCTCCCTTACCTGTCTGCCTCTGTAGTTCTGCTTGCCCAGCCTGTGCAAGAGGAGAGAGCGGGGGAAGAGTGCTAAGCTGTTGTTCTGGGGCCACATCTGCCTGCGCTGCTGCTGCCGCCGGCCAACCCACAGCCTCCTCTGCAGGCTTCAGATTACAGCTTCCCAAAGTTCTCTTAAAGCGCCCCCCTCTTGTTTTCTTGGCACTCCACTTTCCTAGCTTGTCTAGAGCTGTTTGTGAATGAGAGAAGAGTCAGGGCCGGCTCCAGCTTATTTTGCACCCTAGGCGAGGATCCCTTCTGGGGCCCCCGTGCACCCACCAGTTTTCAAAAAATAAATGCATTTTAGGAAGAATGAAAAACAAATAATCAAGAAACTCCCAGAGTACGGGGCCGGGTGCAGTTTGGTGCCCCTAAGGGCCGTCCTGCTCTAGGCGATCGCCTAGTGAGTGAGCCGGCCCTGAGAAGAGTAAGCCCTGCGTGGAAAGAGAGAGGACCCTGGTGGAGCTCGGTCAAACGGAGGGGTTCTTTCTGGCCCAGTGAACAATTCCTGGAATGGCATTCAAAGCTGAAAATTCTCATTAGCCCAGCCCCAAGTTACAAGAGCTATGGCTTTTAGACACAGCCCAGAACTAAAGCAGGGCAAGGCAGATGCATTGTCCAAATGGTCTTGTAAGATTTGAGTCCGGTAGCACCTTAAAGACCAACAAGGTTTCCAGGCTAGAAGCTTTTCAGAGTCCCTTCATCAGATACAAATGGCCTTGTTTGCTGAACTATGGTCCTTTCTGCACTTGGACCTCACCCCTGGTTTTTATCGGAGTTCAACTCGTGACATGATACCTTGCGTTTATCCCTGGTCAGCATCTGTTTATCCCGGGACAAGTGTGGGGTGAAACCGGGGTGAGCTCAATGTAATGTGTTGGAAACAAAAAATACCCTGAGATAATTACAGGGATGAACTCCAGTGTAGTGTAGAATGTTCAGGGAGAGGGTTGAACCAGGATTTAAGGCCTAGTGTGGAAAGGACCTATAACTACTACTTGAGGCGAGTAAGTCTCTCTCATGAGGCTGAAGTTGGTTCCCAGTTCCTTATTCGTAATTCCCCCAGTTTCTTAGGCTTTGTTTTTCCTGTGGGCTTTGGTGCACCTAGAGCTAAACCCAGGCTTTGGACAGGGGAACGGCATAGGTCCCCTTGAAGGACAACGTCCTGAGACCGGGGATGTATGACTGAGGCGCAGAGTCTCAACAGTATTTGTGGTTGGTTTTGAGAATAAAGAACTATGATTAAGGAACTGTGAACTGACCTGCCTTGTCCCCAGTGGTACAAAGAAGACAGATTCTATAACTACACCCCTTAAATACATAGATTCTATAACAATACATAGCATTGTTACAGCAGTGCATTAAAGAGGAGGAGGAGGAGGAGACTGGATTTATACCATGCCATTACTACCCAAAGGTGTCTCAGAGCGGCTTACAAACCCCTTTCCCTTCCCCTCCCCACAACAGACACCCTGTGAGGTAGGTGGGGTTCAGAGAGCTCTTGACAGAAACTGCTCTTTTTTTCAAGAACAGCTCTTATCAGAACTAGGGCTTGCCCAAGGTCATCCAGCCAGGTGCAAGTGGAGGAGTGGGGAATCAAACCTGGTTCTCCCAGATTAGAGTCCGCACACTTAGCCACTACACCAAACTGGCTCTGGCACATGAAGCTGCCTTGTACTGAATCAGACCCTTGGTCCATCAAAGTCAGTATTGTCTGCTCAGACCAGCAGCGGCTCTCCAGGGTCTCAGCCGGAGGTCTTTCCCATCACTTCCTACCTGATCATTTTAACTGGAGATGCCAGGAAGTGAACCTGGGATCTTCTGCATGCCAAGGAGATGCTCTGCCAGCGAGCCACAGACCGTGTTCTGGGAGACTTCACCATTCATGCCGAAGTCACCTTCTCTAAGCTGGTTCAGAGTTTTGTGGCCTGCTTGGCCAGGGGGGGTCTCACTCTGGCTGTGACATGCCCAACTCGGGAAAAATTATATGTCTTGGTGTTAATTTTTTCCACCAAATGTTTGAAGGGTGGAGAGATCCGGTATGGAATTTAAGGCAGTCTTTGTCATATATTTTCTACTGTTTTATTGCACTGCAATTTAATTTGCTAATCCAGTTTTATTACATTTACTGTATGCAATACGATGTCCCACTGTGTTGCTCTCCAATCTTGCAATCATCACGTATTGCACTATTGCACTATGCATAGGCTATGCTTCTACTGCATTGTTGTTCTCTAATGCTGTTGGATGGGTGTATCATACTCTTCTTAGTACACTGGTTGTAGCTGCAACCTGCCTTGAGTAACACCAAAGGAAGTAATACAGGAAACCATTGCTGTGTCAATGCAGCCTGAGTTCTATTGTGTGAGCTGCCTTTGTCAAATAGTACAAAGAGTTGCTGAAGGATTTCTGCCATCACAGGCTGGATTCAGAGCTCACTTTGAACTACAGGGCTCCGAGTGAAGAGAACACAGTTACCAGGTTTGTATAAACTATTTCTGCAATTACCACAAGGGATGTATCTGATTTATACATGCTTAAAACACAGGGAATACTGCAATGTTATTGCATTTCTTGACCAGAAGTCTTTTAAAAGCATTGGAACTGCCTAAATTAGACTAAGGGTTTCTCGAAGTCCAGCATTCTGTTTCCCAGAAACCTTGCAGGCAGGGCATAAAAGCTGCCCTTGTGTTCTATAGGCAGCATATGGCTTCAGTGCCTGTACATGGAGGCCCCACTTCACTACCTTGGCTGATGGGTTACACGCAAACCTGAACAGGGTAAAGTGGCTTCTGTGGTAGTCCCTCGACACAGCAAATCAGTGTGCGAACACAGGAGGAGATCAGTACAAAAACTGCACTGCTTACTTCATTTCATTTGTGTATTTGTACTCCGTTTTCCAGCCAGACTGGTACATAAAGCGGTTTACAATTCAAATCCATCACAATATCCAAGTGCAAATGGGGAGGGGAGAGGAGGGAGAGGAGGTGGGGACATGTTGCTCACCCTTCTAACATTGGTTCACACATACGCATTTTGACTCACTCCCACCTCTTCCTTAGGTGATTTTTTTTCAGTTACAGCCTTTTGCTGAGATACAAATTTCTGGGCTCTCCCGACATACACACAGTGCAAGAATTCCCTCCAAATAATGCAGCATCTGTTGGGACTTTGCAGAACCCTGGGGAGTTCCCACCTCTCTGCTGTAGAGGGGAATGTCCCAAAGGCTGGCCATCTCCTCTCAGCCCACCTGCCAGCTGCTGGTGGCTTCTGATTGCTGTCTGCGACGTAAATACCGAGGACACCAAAGTGTGTGCCACAGCAAGTGCCACGGGTTCCAAGCCTAGCTCCAGACAAGAGGCACAGCAGAGCAAGGGTTAAGTCTCTCCACTGTACCTTCACCATCCCAGCGTTTTTTGATGGGGGGGAAGAGTCAGAGGAGCAGAGGTCCTGAGCAAATGCCTAACTGGGATTCAGGCTCCAGGGACAGCACTGGAGCAAGGGGCCCGGGAGGAGTAGGTGAGGACTGAAAACTTCACATATCTCGGGACAGCGTGGGGAAACCTGGGAGAGGTAGCCATTTACAGAAGGTTTCCATGGGAAAACTTCACAGGCCGCTCCCAAAGACCACCTGGGGGGGCGGGGGGGGCGGAGAGGTGGTTAGAGAGGCCAGAGCCACTCCTGGTCACACACACACCCCGCCCTGTGGATTCTCCCTTATTTAGGAATCGTGTTGTGAGCCAGATGCTGTTTGTCAGGTTGATCCTCCTCCTCCTTCCTCTGCTTGGGAGCCCCGGGCTTGGGGTTCTGGATGCTGCCGAAGAAGAGGGGGACGCCCGCTGTGTCGTCCAGGATGAAAAAGATGAAAGGACGGTCGATGACGAAAGTGGAGAGCGAGCGAGACATCACCACGCTGGTCGCTGCCGCCGCCTCCACCCCATCCTCTACGAGGTCGAGGGCAGAGCGGTGCTGGATGCTGGAGACAAAGAGGGGTCCCTCTGCAATGCGACGGAGGTCTGGGGAAGAAAACAGCTCCCCGAGGCCTGGAGAGGGACAGAAAAAGGAGTCAGGCAGCGGCAGCTGGGGGAGAAGGCAACCGAGGGCCCAGGACTGGCACAGCCTCAGGAAGCAAAAGTGTCCCCACCATAAACTATTCTAGTGACGTGTGCATATATTTGCACATGGCGCATGACCGTCTGCTGCTTCCAGGACTCAAGGTGCATTTGGGCTTCTGCAGGGATGCAGCAACCCAGCAACTCAACTTAAGTCATCGGTAGCCCGGGAATTGCAGTGGGGGGAGGCAGAGGAGAAAACGGGGAAGACTGCCCATCCTCCAGGGCTGCTTCCTGAAAGAGCTTCACAGCCATCCTCTGCGGAAGGTTTGGGAACGTTATGGTGCCTGCATACGTTTCCAAAACCAGGAAGGGCACTGCATTTTGTCCCGGATCCACAGCTTTCCTATAACCCTGAATGGCCCAAGCTAGACTGATCTCATCAGATCTCAGAAGCTAAGCATGGTTGGCCCTCGTTAGTACTGGGATGGGAGACCACCAAGGAATGCCAACGTTGCTAGGAGAAGGAGCAAAAGAGATTGGATTCATACCCTGCCCTTCACTTGGCGTCTCAGAGCAGCTTGCTGTCTCCTTTCCCTTCCTCTCCCCACAACAGACACCCTGTGAGGTAGGTGGGGCCGAGAGAGCTCTTTCGAGGACTGCCCTTGAGAGGACAACTCTGAGACTCTTGTGACTGACCCAAGGTCACACCAGCAGCTGCATGTGGAGGAGTGGGGAATCAAACCCGGTTCTCCCAGATTAGAGTCCGTGCTCTTAACCACTACCCCAAACTGACGCAGGCAATGGCAGATCACCTCTGAACATCTCTTGCTCTACGGGTTCGCCATAAGTTGGCTGTGACTTGACAGCAATTTCCACCACCACACAGCTTTCAGGCTTGCTAGACGGAATGTGCCCAAGATTAAAGGGGCACTGGTGACATCCTACATTCAGAGTTGTGCAGCTAATGCCCTTCCTGTTCCATAAAACAGGCCAATGATCTGAAGAAGATGGACCAGACTCCTGCAGTCTCTTCTGGACAGATTTCAGTGACAGATTGAAACACATCATATATTGTTCCAAAGCAGAGGAAGAGGGAACATGTGTGTAGAAAATGTGGCTGGAGAGAGAGAGAGAGAGAGAGAGAGAGAGAGAGAGAGACAGAGAGAGAGAGAGAGAGAGAAAGAGACAGAGAGAGAGAGAGAGAGAGACAGAGACACACTAAATGTTCACAAGCCCTGGGGGACCAGGAGAGGATCTTGCAGCTGCCATGTTTCTTGGTAGTGTGTGTGCATACATCTGTTGGATTCCTTTTTTATTATGCATAAAGAAGAAGAGAAGAAGAAGAAGAGATTGGATTTATACCCCGCCCTTCACTTGGAGTCTCAGAGTGGCTTACAAACTCCTTCCCCTTCCCCTCCCCACAACGGACACCCTGTGAGGTAGGCAGGGCTGAGAGAGCTCTGAGAGAACTGCTCTTTCAAGGACGGCTCTATGGTTTGCCCAAGGTCATCCAGCAGCTGCAAGTGGAGGAGTGGGGAATCAAACCCAGTTCTCCCAGAGTAGAGTCCACGCACTTAACCACTACACATAACTGGCTCCATCAGTGCAAGCTGCAGAACCGTGTCTGATGACGCAGCGGACTTTTGCTCGCAGAGAGAAGAGAAAGCTTGTCTCTGCATCCTTCAGAGGCTGTGCATTGGATACAGGGGATGAATGAGGATGGCACCCTTGCCCCAAGGCCAATGCAGAGTGTTCCCTTCTGGCCCTCTTGCCAAGCCTCCCACTGACCCCATTCAAGCTGCCTGCTGACGCAGCAGCAAAAGACAGAACCAGGAAACAGCTTGTGGGAGGGGAATAGGCCAGCCCTGCCCCTCCTGCGACCATCTGCTCACCTAATTGGCTGATGGCTTGGTTCAACTCCAGATGACTCTCCAGGTGCACCTTGGGCATCTTCACCATGGTTGGCATCTCCTTGGGGAAGTGGCTGAGGAGACTGGCCGGCCTGAGTTGAGACAGCAGCCGGGAGATGTTCCTCTCAGCGTGGTTAGGCACAATAGCCACGAGGCTCATGTTGCCCTTAAAGGGGAACCTGGCAATCTGGAAGAAGCGAGCCGGTCAAAAAGAGGGGTGGACAGTATGGCACAGCATGAACTAAACAAGGAAGAATACAGAAGCAGAAGACTTGGAGCAGAGAAGAAGAAGAAGAGAAGAGATTGGATTTATACCCCACCCTTCACTACCCAAAGGAGTCTCAGAGCGGCTTACAAACTCCTTTCCCTCCCCCTCCCCACAACAGACACCCTGTGAGGTAGGTGGGGCTGAGAGAGCTCCGACAGAAGCGGCTCTTTTTCAAGAACAGCTCTTATCAGAACTACGGCTTGCCCAAGGTCATCCAGCAGGTGCAAGTGGAGGAATGGGGAATCAAACCCGGTTCTCCCAGATTAGAGTCCGTGCACTTAACCACTACACCAAACTGGCTCTCTCTCGCTCTCTCTAGGCCAGGCAGAGAACGTGAATGGCCCCCAGGCCTATCAGCCCTTTCTTCCACTCAGAGGCCAGGTTTCAAAAACACCCAACTGGGGTGGGGAATAAACTGGAGAGGAAAGTGGGTTCCAAACCTGGACACAGAGCGGCAGGGAAGAGAGAGCCCCCAAGTCAGCACAATTGAGTTCACAGACCCAGCCAGGACGGGCTCACCTGAACGTCCAAGGAATCCGGAGAATACCAACTTAGGGAGTATTTCGGAGCCTTCATCATCTCCACGGAGACCACGAACTCATCGTCCAGGTGAAACGCACCAGGCTCAGTCAGTTCGGGATCAAATTTGGTCCTCCAAAACCCTTCTCCCCAAAACAAAGAAATAATCCATCAAGGGGAGAAACCCAGAAGGCAGACTTGGCTTTGCTTTGGAATCCTTCTGTTTCCTGCCCTTTTCAGCCAAGAGATTACGGGGCCTGTAAAACACTTTCCAAGGGAGCTGCTTTGGGAGCCCGTAGCCAGCCTCCTGGGCCAGAGAAAGCATTCTTTTAAATGGTGTTTGGTCTCCTGCAGTGCAGGAAATTCCTTTCTCACTGAGGCTGGCTATGCAAAACCCTAGCAGCATATGGAGACTTCGTTCATGCAACTCGTTACACTGCATGACAGCCAAGCGGCATTTTAATTCCTGGGCTCAGAAAGGGCCGGTGGCAGAAGAAGAGGGTGCCCAGACTGGTTAGAATGGATAAAAGGAAGTACTTCTTCACCCAAAGAGTGATTAGCACTTGGAATTCACTGCCACAGGAAGTGGTGGCGGCTACAAGCATGGACGGCTTCAAAAGGGAATTAGATAAGCATATGGAGCAGAGGCCCATCAGTGGCTATTAGCCACAAGGCATGGATAGGGTCTCTGGGGCAAGGGATGCTCTGTCATCTTGGTGCTGGGGGGGGGGGTCAACAGTGGGAGGGCTTCTAATGTCCTGGCCCCACTGGTGGACCTCCTGATGGCACCTGGTATTTCTGGCCACTGTGTGACACAGAGTGTTGGACTGGATGGGCCTTTGGCCTGATCCAACATTGGCCTCTCTTATGTTCTTATGGCTCTGCCAGGAGGCCCCCAAGCCGAGCACCTCATCCAGTAAGGGGGGAGGGGGGAGCAGCAGAGCTCACCTTGGAAATGCACAGCGTTGAGCAAGATCATTGAGACGTCGACAGGCAGCTCAGACAGGATCTCGGGGATGTGTCCCCTGGTGGCTGCTTTCACCCAGCTGTTGATGGCCGCGAGGTCTTCCTCCCCGTTACCAGACAGCGTGACCGGCTTTGCTTTGTAGAACTTTTCCGAGTCCTCCAGGAATGTCTCTTTCACCTCAAACCCTGGGGAAAGCTCAGCGTGAGAATCAGGGAGGGCGGGTGGAATTAAGCTCTCCCTTAAGATCGTGTGTGTGTGTGTGTGTGTGTGTGTGTGGGTTACACAGTACCTACTAGACGCGGATTGCCCTACACTAGTTTTTGGAGGGCAGGCACATTTCTCCTCACTGTGTCTCCAGGCCTCTGAGCCCTGCCTGCACAAGATCAGGTGTTTTTCATCCATCTCCCCACAACTGCAAATGCTATGAACCCGAACCCAAACGCCTGCTGTCTTCTCCAACCCTTTGCTCTCTTAGGTGGTGGAAACACACAGAATTCACTGCCACAGGAAGTGGTGGCGGCTACAAGCATGGACGGCTTCAAAAGGGAATTACCGGTAGATAAGCATATGGAGCAGAGGTCCATCAGTGGCTATTAGCCACAAGGTATAGATAGGGGCTCTGGGGCAAGTGATGCTCTGTCATCTTGGTGCTTGGGGGGGGTCAACAGTGGGAGGGCTTCTAATGTCCTGGCCCCACGGGTGGACCTCCTGATGGCACTGGTATTTCTGGCCACTGTGTGATACAGAGTGTTGGACTGGATGGGCCTTTGGCCTGATCCAACATTGGCCTCTCTTATGTTCTTATGTAAGAGGGAATGTTGTGTCTTCATAGCTCTCACGCCCTTTTCAAGGGAAACAGGAGGCAGTCTCATATGCCAGTCTCCAGGCGTGGCCTGGAGATCTCCTGGAATGACAGCTGACTCTCCAAACTACAGAGATCAGTTCCCTTGGAGGACATGGCTTCTTTGGATAGTGGACTCTATGGCATTATACCCACCGAAGCCCCGCCCTGCCCCCAAACCTACTTTTCTCCAGGCCCCACCCCCAAATGTCCATATTAAATCTGTTCATCTTTACCACTCTTGCCCTGTTCCTCAGCATCTTGCTGGGATATATCAGATCAGTCCTTTCTGTTTCCTTACATTTATATACCACCTTTCTTCTAAGCAGTATGGTGTACGTGGCTGGGGAGATCCCATTATTTTTATTCCTCTCAATGACCCTGGGAGATAGGCAAGGCTAACAGAGAACAACTGACTCAGGAGGACCACCCAATTCGGTTTCATGACCTAAGTGGGGATTTGAACCCGGGCCTCCCTGGTCTTAGTTTGGCATCACACCACTGTAGCACATCAGCCTTCAATATTCACTATCGTTCCCTAAAACTCATAGTAATAATAACTAAATGTCATCAAGTTGCAACTGACTGAGGGCAACCCCATAGGGCTTTCAAGGCCAGAGATGAGCTGAGGTGGTTTATCACTGCCTTCCTCTGCTTAGCAACCCTGGGCTTCCTTGGTGGTCTCCCATCCAAGTACTAAACATAGCTGACCATGCTTAGCTTGCAGGCTCTGACAAGCTGGTGCTAGTCTGCACTACGGATGGGCATGAACCGGGCGAATGGAAGTTCATGGTGTTTCACGAACCCCACACCTCCACAAACCTTTCTGTTTAACGAACCAGTTCAAGGTTCATGATGCGGCACAGCTTGCAAAAGCCATTTAAAGGGATCCCTCTGCCAGGAGGGGTTGGCCTCACCCAGGCCGGTCCCAAGTGCGGGTCCTGTCCGCCTGCCACAGCCAGGCGTTCGGACCCCACTACCGGGCCCCTCCCAGGAGGGCCCGCACTTCCACGTCTCCTCCCCCGTGAGGGAGGGCAGAACCAGGCCGGTCCAAAGCTGGGGCCCTGACCAGTGGGGTGGGAGTCGGACCATGCTACTGGGTCCCTCCCAGGAGGGCCTGCACTTACACGTCTGCTCCCCATGAGGGAGGGTGCTACCAGGCCGGTCCCCAGCTAGGGGCCCTGTCCCAGGAATTCCCACCCTACCCGTCCGCCTTCCACAGCCAGGCATTTGGACCATGCTATCGGGTCCCTCACAGGAGGGCCCATACTTCCATGTCTCCTCCCCGTGAGGGAGGCTGCTACCAGGCCGGTCCCAAGCAGGGGGCCCGTCCGTGTAAATATCTTGACTGGTTCCTACAACTGGCATTATGTCAAAAACCTGCGATTTTTGAAACTATCCATTTTCTCATTAGTTGCTTTACACATATGTGGCGATCTGCTCTCCTCGACTAAAACGTCTAAGGCTCTCATGTAAAAGTAGCTGAACAGTTACTCTGATCACGGTTCACTGACGTTGAATTGGTCAGGCACTCCTTAACAGTGCTTCAAAGCATTTCAAGTGCAGTCATTGCCCAACCCCCCGAAAGCTGGACTGCTAGACGGGGAAACTTAATGTTACGTAAGGAACATGATGTCAAGCCACGCTTGCATGTGGCAGTTGAACTTTTAAGTGAGAAGCTGAGGGGAAGTTTAAATCAGAAATCATACTGTTGCTAGAGCCACTTTTCACACAGTTGGAATGCGCGGCTGCTCTGTTCTCTAACTTCATTCACATACTCCTTTCAGAAGGCTTCCTTCAAGAAAAGGAGTTCCTGTACACAAACCTATATCATGTAACACGATTCATGTTCACATAAGTCTATCTGTACAGGTCACGATGGAATAGTTTTCCTGGAAGAGATCGTGGGTTCGCAGGGACATTTAAGCTTTCCAAAGAAACTGGAAATAAGTCCTTGTGTCTACAAACTTTACACCGAAGTTCCACGAGCTGGCAAAGTTGCATAGAGGTGTCTAGGCTGTCTTCACCAAATCGTAGACATAAATATGGGAATCATCATCACATCTGATGAAATAGAGAGAAGGTTTGGCCTCCTCTTGATGAATGACCCCGGCAGTCCTTTTTGAGCAAAAAAATAGGTGCCCCGGAAGGTGAAAAAGCATCTGAGAGACGCAATGCAAGTATTAAATAGCCCCCGTTTATCCTCCCTCATGATAGGCTTCACTCTGACCTGGGTAGCCAAGCTAACCCAATCTCATGAGATCTCGGAAGTTAAGCAAGGAGACTACCAAGGAAGCCCAGGGTTGGGGCACCGAGGCAGGCAACTGCACACCACCTCTCAGTGTCTCTTGCCTTGAAAACCCACAGGATCGCCATAAGTCAGTTAAGACTTGACTGCACTCTCCACCCCCCCCCCCCCGCGTCCCCCAACACCACAGGCTTCCTCTTTTAATCACAACTTCACTGATTTTTTTTTAAAGGATCTCACAGTGTTGTTCTTGTTCCAACTGGATTGGCAATAAATTGGCCAAGAAACAAATTTGCATTACAAATGCCCCCCTTCTCTTCCCGGCACAAAAACCAGATGTTGTCACCGAAAGAGGCTCAAAGGCTAATTTATGTTTCACCAGCACCTCGCCTCATCTCCCTTGCAGGCTTATCTCATGGCCACCACCGCAGGCAACCGCCGTCTGCCTGCCCTGCTCACACCTCTCACCTTTTTGCAGGTAAAGACGGGAAGCAACACTGAGCATCGCCTGGTCCAGCTGCTGCCGAACCTGGTGCAGAGCCTGATGGAGGCAGGGCACCTCTGCCAGGTGCAGGGCTTCAAGCAGGGCCTTCTCAGTCCGATTGGCAGCTCCTGGAAAAGCCAAGGGATGTGCTTAATGCTCAGCACCCAGGGAAAGGGTGACCGGTGCCCATGGATGTAAGGGGGTCGGCTCCTCTGTCTGTGTGATGAAATACAGGCCTCCCTCCAGTCTGCGTTGCCAAATGTCTTAGTCTTAAAGCAGTTAGTAGCAGCAGAGGCACTGTTAACAGCAGGGGGAGTATTGCAGGAACTCCATGGTGCAGTCAGAAGGGTGGAGCTGAGTATAAGGGAGGGGAGCTCAAAGAAGGAACAGGCCCACCCTGTAGTAGGCATGAACGGGGATGCTCTTACTGTCTGCCCCCCCCCCCCCCGTCTCTGTTTTCAGAACTTATCCAGAGCATCAATTCCCACATTGTGTGCCAGGAAAGGCCAGTCCATCCAAGGCTCTTGGCTACCCAAAACCCTCACCCAGAGAGGAAGCACACAATGTACTGGGCTCAGCCTTGCTTTGTTCACAGTTGGCCTCTGCTGGGGGCAGCCGTTTCAGCTCCAGACTGGCATCAGCCTTCAGAGACACAGCAGAAGTCCCAGTCCTCCAGAAGAGGCTGACTGTCGTGATCTGCATGAGTCGCTGCTTTGGCCTTGCTTCCTTCCCAAACAGGAGACATGCTCGGATCAGCGACTCATGCAGAGATGTGAGGAATTCTGACTCATACTCCCCCCCTCCCCCAAAGTAGACCCTGCTGGACTGGAACAGAAGGAGGAGGAGGAGGAGGAGGAGATTGGATTTATACCCCGCCCTTCACTACTTGGAGTCTCAGAGAGGCCTACAAACTCCTTTCTCTTCCACTTCCCCTCCCCACAACAGACACCCTGTGAGGTAGGAAGGGCTGAGAGAGCTCTCTTGAGAACTGCCCTTGAGAGAACAGCTCTGAAAGAACTTGTGACTGACCCAAGGTCACACCAGCAGCTTCACGTGGAGGAGCGGGGGAATCAAACCCGGGTCTCCCAGATTAGAGTCCGTGCTCCTAACCACTACACCAAACTGGCTCTCAGTATAATGAAGTTATAGTGTAAGGTAAGCGCAGCTGGGCAAATACTGACCGAGAGCCAAGTGAGCCAGCGCCAGCGTGATACTGAGCGGGGAGAGAAAAAGGTTGTCTTGGCCCTTCTCCAGCTCCACTTCTCGCACGAGATCCGCCGTGAACTTGAGCATGGCCTCAGCGATCACGTGCATCTTCTCCGGGGGCAAACTCTCCTCACAGTCTCTTCTGGTCTCCTCCTCCCACCCCACAGAGGGGTTTTGCTGCTCTTCTTGCCTGTCAGGTACGCCATCTTCAAGGGCAGGGGGACTGGAGGGTAGTGCCGTGACACTAGGCGGCCCCTCCTGGATCTCAGGCACTGAGCTTTGCACAGCAAGGTTCACCAGGCCTGGCTCAGGCTCTGGCGTACAACAAACAGCAATACTAGGCTGGAAGATGTCGCCAGTCAATCCCTGAAAACACATGAACACATTACACTTCCTTATACTGAACCAGACCATTAGAATCATAGAACTGGAAGGGACCTCCAGGGTCATCTAGTCCAACCCCCTGCACAATGCAGGAAATTCACAAATACCTACCCCTGCACCTCAATCACTGCTCTTTCACGCCCAGAGGATGACAAAAAACCTCCTGGATCTCCAGCCAAACTGGCCTGGAGAAAAATTGCTTCCTGACCAGTGTTTCCTCTAAGTTGAGTTAGTGTGAGCTAGCTCACAGTTTTTTAGCCTCTGGCTCACACATTTTTATCTCAGCTCAGGAAGGGATGGCTCCAGAGCAAACTAATTTATGCAGCAGCCAAATCCTCTGCTCACAACTTTAATGCCAGTAGCTCACAAAGTAGAATGTTTGCTCACAGGACTCCATAGCTTAGAAGGAGCATTGTTCCTGACCCCAAAGTGGTGATCGGCGTTTCCCTGGGCGTGTAAGAAAGGGTCACAAGAACTAAGCACTGAGGCAACCCTTCCTGCCCTCCCTCTCATGATCTGCCTAACTTCACAGAATCAGCATCGCTGTCATTGATCCATCAGATTCAGTATTGTCTACTATTGTCTACTCAGGCTGGCAGCAGCTCTCCCGGGTCTCAGGTTGAGGTCTTTCATATCACCTCCTACCTGACTGTTTTATGTGGAGATGCCGGGGATTGAACCTGGGACCTCCTGCTTGCCAAACAGATGCTCTACTGAGAATCCTGTGGAACACTTCAGCCTTCCAGGACATTCAACAGGTGACCTCAAAGTAACTGTTTTATTGCATAGAAACTTCAGGAACAGACTGGAAAGGGAAATTACTGAATTACAAGTTATTACAATGCTTGGAACACCAGTGATGTCAGGGGGTGTGGCATATGCTAATGAGTTATGCTAATTAGTTCCCCTAGCTCTTTTTCTACGAAACGACCCCTGAATACGTTTATGTGTCGTCCAATGCAGCCCAGAGATCCTGTTATCACTGCCCCCCCCCATAGCTGCCTTTTTGAACACCTTTAAACCAGCCAACGTGAGTGTCCACTCCCCCTACCTGCCCATTTTCCTCCATGACAGCTTCATTCTCAGCAGCGGTCTCCAGGTCCAAGGCACATGAGAAAAGGGCCTGGAAGGAAATGCGTCAAAGCAAGCGTCAACAGAATAGAGCTGAGAGGCAGCACGGACTCTCTGCCCAGCGCCCACCTTTGCTGGCCTTCTCCACCTTTGCTGGCCTTCTCCACCCCCATGGAGCCACAACTTGAAGCACGTGGATGATATCTGTAAAACGGTGCATTGGAGGCAAAAGACACTGTTGTCCAATAGGGGACCCACCTCACACAACACACTACACTGTTAAAGAAAGAGGTCAGCTGTCAAAACTATCCAGAAGGAAATGCTGATTTCAATTTCAATTTATTATTACGGGTCTATATGACCGAAGTCCTGACCAAAGAGAATGCAAAAGGGGTAAAATAGGTACATAAAATTGACATAAAATATGACAAGTACATAGTCACAATCAGTAAACATATAAAACCCAGGCATAGCCCAGAGAATTAAAAAAAAAACCCTAACTACACTTGGGGTGGAGCCAACTAACTAAAATCCTCCGAAGATTAAAAATCGGTGCAGGTGTTTGCAAAGATGATAACGCTTTCAGTGTTTCTTGAGAGCGGCAACCTTAGCCAGGAACCGTGCGAAATGCTGATTTAATGTTATGTTCCATCTCTCTCTCTCTACTCCCCTTCTCCAGCACTAGATAAATCACAAAAACTGCTTGGAGGGCCTTCTATAAGGTGACTCAGTATTGAGAGAAGCGCTGGTAACTGAGATTCATTACCAATACACAACATGGGCAAAGCCATTCTCAAATCAATGGATTTCTGGGCCTAGACAGATAGGAAGAGAGAGGTTGATAATGCTCATGTTCTGGGCAGGCTGGTTGGGGGGATCCCCTGACTACAGCCAGTTTGGTGTAGTGGTTAAGTGCGTGGACTCTAATCTGAGAGAACCGGGTTTGATTCCCCACTCCTCCACTTGCACCCGGCTGGATAACCTTGGGCAAGCTGTAGTTCTGGCACAGCTGTTCTCCAGATTGGGAAATTCCTGGAGATCTAAGGATAGACTCGGTAGGGTATAATTCCATAGAGTTCACCCTCCAAAGCAGCCGTTTTCTCCAGGGGAACTGATCTCTAAACCCTGGAGATCAAGTGTAACTCTGGGAGAAATCCAGGCTCCACCTGGAGGTTGGCAACCCTATAACAGTTCCTCCTAGCAGTTACTCTTGATATGTAGACTCTCCTCTGGTCTGTCTGCGTTACGCCGATTCAGGCTCCTGTAGCTTCCAGGCTGGACTGCTGTAATGGGGCTCACATGGGGCTACCTGCGAAATGGGGTTGCCAGTTCTGGGTTACGAAATCCCTGGAGCTTTCGGGGCTGGAGCCCGGGGAGGGCAGGGTTTGGGTTCAATGCCATACAGTCCACCCTCCAAAGCAGCCATTCTCTCCAGGGGGACCGGTCTCTGTAGTGTGGAGATCAGTTGAAATTCTGGGAGATTCTGGCAGCCTTACCATGAAGACTAGAGGTCATTTCAGGGGGGAACGCGGGGGAACACAGTTCCCCCGGGTGAGGTGCAGGGGGGCGGGGCACACGATGAAGCCCCGGCCCCTGCTTCCAGCCACTTCCGGCCCTCATTCAGCCAGGAGGAGGCAGGAGAAGAGGGAGGGTAAGTTGCTTCCTCCCTGCCTCTCCCCACCCCTGCCTGCCTGGGGCCAGGGAGGGCCTTGGCAGGGCTTCCTCGCACTCCCACCGGCCTTGCAGGTCCACCGCTGGGCCCGATGTCAGGGGGTGTGGCATATGCTAATGAGTTATGCTAATGAGTTCCCCTAGCTCTTTTTCTACGAAATGACCCCTGCATGAAGACACTTAGGAAACTGCAGCTGGCACAGAATTCAGCCACTGACCCTATGTCTGGTATTTCCCAGTTTGTTCAGTGATTGTGCTAAGCTCAGGTCAGGGTGTTCCCTCTGGCTGGTAACCCCTCCCCCATACTTGAGGAAGGGTTGGTTTTATACTGCACCCTTCAGTACCCAAAGGAGTCTCGGAGCGGCTTACAATCACCTTCCCTTCCTCTCCCCACAACAGACATCCTGTGAGGTAGGTGGAGCTGAGAGAGCTCTGACAGAGAACTGTGACTGGCCCAAGGTCACCCAGCTGGCTGCATGTAAAGGAGTGGGGAATCAAACCCGGTTCTTAAAATTAGAGTCCCGCCGCTCTTAATCACTACCCCAAACTGACAGGCTGTCACTCTCAGACCCGTTGTGATCCGGGCTCTCCAATGGTGACGGGGACTTCTCCCCGCCTGCCTCCTCACAGGCTTGCTTCATAACCCACTGTGTGCATTCCGTTAAGTTACGAAACACCGAACGGCAACTGCTTTGACAGCTAAGTATCCTTGATCCTGGCAAAATGCGGACCACAGTTCCCACACAATGGGACCATCCGGGGAGAAGTGCCTACCAAGTAGGGAGAATCCCCAGATTTGCAGGGGGGAGAAATCCGGAAAGTTTAGAAGTTTTTTTAAAAGCGCAACAACGTTTGCGCATGCTCAAAGGGTGCTGAGAAAAACCGCTTTTGGAGCCGGGCCCGACAAGTAGAAGAAAGGCGGCGGGAAGCTGGAGGCCGTCCCGCCGCTCTCGGGGCTCTCGAGGCCGCTCTTGCTTGCCCGACGACGGCTGTAGCGCTGGGCGGCGCTCGCCTGGGTCACAGACACGGCCCCTGCAGCACCGCCCTCCCCTCCCAGGGCCCGGGCTCGACTTACCGGCAGCGCAGCCAGGCCGAGAAGCAGCCGAGTCCAGGGCACGGCAGCCATCCTCCCTGCAAAGCAAACGGGCAGACGGCTGAGGACGGCAGGAGCAGGGGCTCTGCAAGGCCCGCCCGGGGAGGGGGTGGTGGAAATCCCTGCAGAAGTGCCCCCCCCCCCGCCAAACCGTGCTAGGAAGTGGGGGGAGTGCGCCTCGGCACCTTTCTACAGTGGCAGGCGCCAGTGGGAAGTTTTCAAGGCCAGTCGGCGTGGGGGGAAGCCGCCGCTGCCCCTTGCTCTTTTCCCAGAGGAAGTGGCGAAGCCGCCCCCACCGGGCGTCCCTCGCCTGCCTCCCCCTCCCGTCAAAGCCCAGGGCTCAGCCCCCCCGCGGTTCCCCCTGCCCCCCCCTTACCTCGGTCCGCCTCCCTCGCTTCAAGCCTCTGCCGCCACCCGCTCTGTCTCCCCGAGGGTACAAGTGGAGGACCCGGCGCTGGGGCCAGGCGCAGCAGCAACGCCTCTCCGGGAGGAATCTCTCCCCCCCCCTTACAAATATTTGCTTTCTGCGTCCCGTTAAACATTTGCTCTCAAACAACTAGCCAAGAGGAGAAAAGGGACCCTCCTCCCCAACCGGGAAGCCTCTTGGGGGGGGGAGACAGGAAACAGCAGGGGGAAAACGTTTGGCATGGGGGGCCCCGCGTTTTTAGGCCCTCCAGGGTAACTGGGTGACCACTGGGTGGAACAGGATGTTCACTAGAGGGACCACTGGGGTGTGAGCCAAGAGGACACCCCTGAGGGAGGAGTTGGCCTTGCCAACCTCCAGATCTCCTGGGATTAGAACTTGTCTACAAGCAAGAGGGATCGGTGGGTCCCCCTGGAGAAAATGGCTGTCTGGCCTTATACCCCAGGGGTCCGTCCTGCCCCTCTCCAAACCCCCCCTCCCCGGCCCCCAAATCTCCAGGTAGTTCCCAACCCAGAGTTCGCCACCCTAGTAAGAGTGCTGAAAGGGTAGATCTGGAGCCATCCAGATTTTAAACAGTTCTTTCAAAGTTGCTAGTGGGGCCTCGCCCCTCTTCCCCCCCCCCCCAACCGGGACTTTCCGGCCTTCTCCCCCAGGGTCCCTTAGCTGGGGTTTGGGAGGACCTGCCTGAGGCAGCTGCCAGACGGGCATTCGGGTGACTCCACGAACAGTGCTCGCTTTCTCTTACAGGCAAGCCCTGTTTCACCAAGCCCCACGCAGCTCAGCTGCACACTCCCGCAGCTTCCGTTTCACAGCCCACACCCAGCAGAAGTCAGTTCCTCATTCCCAAGCAGCACCCTGAATAAGGACCTCCCAGTTCGAGCAACTTGGCATCCCAAAATAAACTGCTGGCCGCTTCAAATTGTTTCCCGCAAGATATCACAGCACTTGGGCCAAGACAAAACATAATCCCTAGCCAACACCCTCCGGCAAGGAGAGCTTGCAGAACCTGTGGGGCAGTGCTGGAGGCGTCAGGGCTGACCACTGCACGGAAGCAGCTGGCGGGGCACTCTTGCGCTGGGTTAGCCCAATGCTGCTAGGGGGAGGCAGCGGCGTGCAAAGGTCCATTCTTGATGCAGGCTGCTTTTGGTGGCAGGAAGTGTTGCCAAGTTATGGCAGCCCCCCCCCCCCCCCGTGGGGTTTTCAAGGCAAGAGATGTTCAGAGGTGGTCTTGCCCTTGCTGGCCTCTGCGTCCAACGAAGAGAGCTGTGTTTCTCGAAACCTTGTGCTACAATAAAGTTTGTTAGTCTCAAAAGCGCCACTGAGCTTTTCACTGCTTTGCAGCAACAGACTGACACGGCTAACTCCTCTGCCTCCACATAGCAACCCTGCTTTCCCATCCAAGTACTAACCAGGGCCGACACTGCTTTGGTTCCAATATCTGACGCGCCTGGTCCAGTGTTCCCACTAAGCTGAGTTGGTGTGAGCTAGCTCATAGTTTTTTAGCCTCCGGCTCACACATTTTTGTCTTGGCTCAGGAAGGACGGCTCCAGAGCAAACTGATTTATGCAGGAGCCAAATCGCTCGCTCACGACTTTAAAGCCAGTAGCTCACAAAGTAGAATTTTTGCTCACGACGCCACAGCTTGGAGAAGACTCTTGAGAGTCCCTTGGACTGCAAGAAGATCAAATCAGTCAGTCCTAAAAGAAATCAACCCTGACCGTTCCCTGGAAGGCCAGATCCTGAAACTGAAGCTCAAATACTTTGGCCACCCAATGAGAAGGGAGCACTCACTGGAGAAGACCCTGATGCTGGGAAAGATTGAAGGTCAAAGAAGATGGGGCCGGCAAAGGATGAGATGGTTAGACAGTGTCATAGATGCAACGAACATGAAGTTGAGTAAACTTCAGAGGACAGCGGAAGACTGGAAGGCCTGGCGTGATCTGGTCCATGGGGTTGCGAAGAGTTGGACTCGACTGTGACTGAACAACAACAAACCACAGCTTAGAGGGAACATTGGACTGGTCCAGCCTGGGCCATCTAGGGCAGGGCAGGCCGCTTCTCGACCATCAGAATACGGAGCCAAGCTTCGTCTTCACGATGCTTTTCCCTCTATTGCTGCAGCGTTCCAGTTGTACCCGGCCACAGCCCTGAAAACATACAGGCAACACAGGACCCCATTCCCCCTGCCTCCCCAACGGTCCCGTGCATTCACTTGCATACATAAACACACCGTCTTATTGTGTGCACACACGGCCATCGTCAGCTCCTAAAGTGTTTTATTAGAATATTTATACAATCCATTGCAATTAATCAGCTACCCAGGGGCTGGCCCTTTCCCCACTCCAGGCGAAGAATGAAAGCAAGCACTTATACTGCTGCCCCCCGCCTCTTGGTGGAACACCAGTGTTCAAAGTGGCAAGACAGAGTTGGACCACTGCTGTGTGAGTGGGTGGAAAGTCCAGCCCACTGGAGAATGACAACTTGGCCAGTGGGTATGGAATGGGTGCCCGGACAGGCGAGTAAGAGCTGGTTACAAAAAGGGGTTTCTAGGGCTCGGTCCAAGCCCATGGGAAAGGCGCATGGGCCAGGGAGGTGTGGGGAGACCACAAGAGCCCACCTTCCCCACCCCAACACCCCCTTTCGGGTACAAAGCCTGCACACACTTCCACCCTTGGCAAGACGGGTTCATCTCCCGTTTTCAGTTTTTCCGGAGACGTTCACTCCTCCCCAAACAGACTTGAGGAAGTGGAAATGCTACATGGGGGAGGAGCAGTTACAGGCCCCTCCTCCCTGGGTTTTCTCTGGGAGACACTCCTTGATCCCAAAAAAAGTTAGGCACGTGAGGTGATGGGAGGATCCTGCCTTCTGGCTGCCCAGCAGCCGGCTTGTTAGGAATGGGTTCCGTCATTCTGAGAGGCTCCGGGGAACAGAAAGAACGCTTCGACCAGGCCGCCTGTTCCCGCCCTCCCTCCCCTCCCATATTGGGGGGGGGGGGACATGCCGCTGGCCAGAGGCTCCGCTCCAGTCCCTAAACAGAAATCCGTCACAGATGCCCGGAGGAGAAGAGCTATGCCAGGAGGCGAACCGTCCCGTTGTCTGAGCCCAGCAGAAGATGGCACTTGGTGGGAAGAACAGCCAGGCTGGTTAAGGTGCCCCGGAAGTTCTCGGAGCTTAGTTTGGTGACGCTCGGGGGCAAGGGCTCCTGGAGCGAGTAGACGCCAATCTTGTTTGCCACGGTGCCGGCCACCACCTCGTTGCCGTAGAGGTCGAAGGCGTGGATCGGCTCGGAAGCGGACTTGTAAGTCTGCAGCGGCTTCTGCTCCAGCTCCTTCCAGACGGTCAGCGAGTGGTCAGAGGAAGAACTGATGAGCGTGTTTCCCTCGGTGGCCTGGGGGGGGAAGGAAGGGAAGCTACCGTGAGCCGACACAGACCTGGCTGAGCCTGCGGGCCACTGCTGGAATGACGAGAGCACTACAAAAGGGCTGTCAGTCACAAAACACTGGGAGGAGAAGGTGCCAAGCCAAGCAGCTGCTTCCAAACGGGCCCTCTGCTTTCATGATGCCTGCTGGCATCGTCTTAAGCACCTTCCGCTCCAATCGGGTGTAAGAAAGCCAGGCTCTTTGCTTGGGGTGGGGTGGGGGAGAAGCACATGGGTGCTAGGAAAAGGAAAGGGCCGTGGCTCAGTGGAAGAAAAGAAGAAGAGATTGGATTTATACCCAGAGGAGTCTCAGAGTGGCGTACAAACTCCTTTCTCTCCCCGCAACAGACACCCTGTGAGGTAGGCGGGGCTGGGAGAGCTCCGACAGAAGCTGCTCTTTTTCAAGGACAGCTCTTATCAGAACTACGGCTTGCCCAAGGTCATCCAGCCAGGTGCAAGTGGAGGAGTGGGGGATCAACCCCAGTTCTCCCAGATTAGACTCCGCGCACTTAACCACTACAGAGGCGCCTCTGCTTGGCATGCAGAAGCCCCCAGGTTCAATCCTTGGCATCTCCGGTTGAAAGGACCAGGCAGCAGGCGATGGGAAGGACCTCTGCCTGAGACCCTGGAGAGCCACCGCCAGTCTGAGTGGACAAAACTGACATTGACGGACCAAGGGTCTGATTCACTAGATGACAGCTTCATGTGTTCCTGCCATACATCAGTGGGGGCCAAAGCCCCCGCATTTGGGATCCCTGAGTCAGGATGACCTCTTCCGCCCCAGATGCTGTCTACACTAGCTGCAGGGACACTGCTTTTGAACTCGAAAGGAAGATACACCCTGTCCCAAATCCTAGTTGGTTGGGGGTTAGTTGTGCTTACTCAGCGGGAAGAAAAAGCAACTACACCAGATCCAGGTCACTCATCTTAATTATTACCTGCCCAACAGAGAATCCAGACCCTAAATCAGGGTGTCAAATGAAAGGGCCAGGGCTGGCAATGGCCTGTTCAGGGCTCTTATGCGGCCTGCAAGCAACTAGTGCAAGGGAAGAAGAAGAGGGGGGGGGGAGTTGGATTTATACCCCACTCTTCACTCAGAGTCTCAGAGCGGCTTAGAATCTCCTTCCCTTCCTCTCCCCACAACAGACACCCTGTGAGGTAGGCGGGGCTGAGAGAGCTCTCTGGAGAGAACAGCTTTGAGAGAACTGTGACTGACCCAAGGTCACCCAGCTGGCTGCATGTGGAGGAGTGGGGAATCAAACCCGGGTCTCCCAGATTAGAGTCCGCTGCTCTTAACCACTATATCAAACTGGAGGGAAAAGGAGGAAACAGAGACTGCATGGAGCGATTGTGGCTTCAGCACAGCGGAACAACCTCATCTGCAGCAGTCAAGCATCGTGGGAGCATCACCTGGTGCTGCACTGCTGGCTCTCCAGTCTGCCTGTGTGGGTTTCCTTTGCACCCCCCTTCCTGCCTATGGGGCCCTGCAGTGAGGATGCAACAACTCGGAGCTTACCAGCTGCTGTCCTTTATACCATTTCTATCTGTGGTGCCTGGCATTACGTTTCATGGCACACATGGCCCGGCCCGACAAAGTGACATTCATGTCAGATCCGGCCCTTGTAACAAATGAGTTCGACCCCTCTGCAAAATACTCCCTGGCAAACATGAAAGCCCAACATGCAGGGTTAACTCACTCACACCTTCTGTGCTGGCCTTGGCTGGCCCCCTAATGGAATAAAGTTCAAAGTGCAAACAAGCGATGAGATTTCGGTCACTCCTACTGCTCAGGAGGGGCCTGCCTAACAAAGCAGTTGGAAGGCAGTGAGAAGCCGTGACTTTAACCCCACATCATAGCGGCTGCGAGTTCCCACTGGTCAGCCACCGAGTCACGAGGGGGGGGGGAGAACGGGAGGGCCCTCTCCCCAGCTTCCACGGAAGCTGCCTGTTAGCTAGGCTAGGATGCGGAGCCTTCCCCTGAGCCTCCAGCCGAGGGAGGAAATGTAAGCAGCTTGTGTTTGACTGGCGCTGGGTGAAGGACGCAGCCCCTCGTGGCTCCTGGGGGCAGATAAGCAGGAGGGTTATTCATTAGAAGGGGGCCCTGAGCAGAGAGGCAGGGCAGCCGGCCAGCAGGGGGTGGGGAAAGCCCAGGCTGGCCCCTCCCATACAGGCCATCCCACCCTCCCTTCTTGCCCTCGCACAAGGCCCTGTGTCCTTCCCTTCCCCTCCATCGAGCTATCCGTGGGCTTACTTTACATAGAACAGCATCGCAGGTTATGAAGCCCTGCATCCTCCAAGCCCCTCATCATACAGGGCAGCTGGGTAGGCTGGGCTTTTGAGACTTCACCAGGCATTGCGCTCATTTCTCCAGTTTCTCTCTGACCAGTGTTCCCTCTAAGGTGAGTTAGTGTGAGCTAGCTCACAGTTTTTTAGCCTCCGGCTCACACATTTTTATCTTGGCTCAGGAAGGATGGCTCCAACGCAGACTGATTTATGCAGCAGCAGAATCGCTCGCTCGCGACTTTAATGCCAGGAGCTCACAAAGTAGAATTGTTGCTCACAAGACTCCGCAGCTTAGAGGGAGAATTGCCTCTGATGTCACATGGGCCAGGGATTTCTGCATGGAAGAAGCTGGAGTTTGCAGTGGCTTCTCTGAGCAGCTACAGGCGCATGGCACTGGGCCGGGCCGTGGCACTGCGATCTCCCGGGCCCGAGAGTGCTCAGGGCTGACTCCATCTCCAACAGCTGGCAAAGCTTCCTCATCACAGCAGCAGAGCCTTAGCCCAGATTCCCAGCTGTGCAGGAAGCTCCAAATGCCAGGAGCTGTTTTGTTGGGCGGGGAAGGGAGGGAAGGCAGGTCTCAGAGCTGCGGGAAAACTGGCTCTCTGTCCCAGAGCGAACTTGCAGAGCCAGAGGACACAGCAAACCATGAAGCTGGACAGCCTCCCGAGGACCAGGCCTTGTCCCAGAATTGCACAACTCTTGCATTTGTGAGGTTTTGCCATTAGGAGGCCCCATCATTTTGAGACAGGGCGAAGCCCCACGACCAGTGTTCCCTCTAAGCTGAGTTAGTGTGAGTTAGCTCACAGGTTTTTTTCGCCTCCGGCTCACACATTTTTGTCTTCGCTCGGGAAGGACGGCTCCAGAGCAAACTGATTTATGCAGCAGCCAAATCGCTCGCTTACAACTTTAATGCCAGTAGCTCACTAGTAGAATTTTTGCTCACAGTTTAGAGGGAACAGCAAAGAACACACCACTGACTGAAAATAAACGCACAAGCAAATTAGCAAGTATATAATAATTATATAAGCATAACAGCAAATATCCTTGACTGACCATTCTGGCTTAGTATATGCCAGCTTTTGAGATTGGGTTCCATTACAGCCACGCTTGAATAAGAATTATTCGAAACACGGCATCAGGCATCCGGATTACGCGTCGGCTTTTTATGGCTCAGAAAATTTGATGACTTACACTTCTATTTTGGAGTAGACACATGGAAAGACTGTAGACTGTGCTTCTATTATGCTTTATTATTGCACCTTGGCCAATTGACTCATATTATACTTGCTGTTATGCTTATATGATTATTATATACTTGCTAATTTGCTTGTGCATTTATTTTCAGTCAGTGGTGTGTTCTTTGCTGTGTACTGTACACTGGCTTCCCCCCCCCCCACAGTTTAGAGGGAGCATTGCCCACAACCCTCGCTCACAAAAAGGTAGGGGGGATGATCTACAAGCTCCTGCCAACCAGCTCTTACCTTAATCTGCAAGATGTCTCCCTCGTGTGCTGGCCACCCCCGCAGGATGAGGCCCGTCCTGGTGTCCAACAGGACCATAAAGCCAGAAGAGAAGCCGGCCACGATGCTCCGCCCACTGGGACTGACAGCCAGGCAACGGATGAGGCCAGCGTTTGCCCCTGTGGCCAGCCGAAATTCATGCTGCAGATGATGAAAAAGGTGGGACACGGCTCACAGTCACAGCTAAGGGAGACCTCGAGCCCCAGAGCCAGCCCCGCAAACCAGGAATTTTTTTCCGGGGGGGGGGGGGAGTTTCCAAGGCGCTGAGGAGGCACTGTGCTGGATGCCACACTCACCTTCCTCTTGGCCGCCGGCACCCAGGTGGAGGCGGCAGCGGCAGAGAGCCGTGCTCCTCTGGATAGGGTGCTGCGGTGGGGCTCCGCCTTCACTGCAGGGGGCTCCGCCCCTAAAGCCCCACTGCTGCCTGCAACCCGGCCCAGGGCAGATCAGACCACACCTAGGCCAGCAGGAGCAACAAGCTGGTACCTGCAATCCTGGTTTCCGGTGGTCGATGAAACGCAAGACTGAATCTGCACTGGCCATGCCGACACTGTTGTAGGGGGGCGGCATGGCGCTCACAGCCGTGACGGGCACTTTGCTGTCTGGTGCCTCAAAGGCGTGGATGAGCTTGCCTGCAAAAAAACAAGCCCCACCCCCACAGGGTGCACTGAGTGATTTGCAGCTGGGCCCGCGTAAGAGCAGCCTTGCTCAGTCGCACCAGGAGTCCAGTCGGGCCAGCCCCCTGTTTCCCAGATGGCCCGGAAGAGCCACAAAGGGGCAAAAGCTCCCCCCCAACAACCGCTATTCAGAGTGAGTGGGGGTGGGAAGTGCCACGGAGCCGCAGCCAACTTTCAACACGAGAGGAGAACAGAGAAGCTTTGCCCTTGCCAGCCTCTGCGTGGCAGCCCAGGTCTCCCATCCAAGGAGTAACCGGGGCTGACCCCACTTAGCTTCCAAGATCTGACCAGATCAGGCAAACTCAGACCATACAAGGTTGTTGTTGGGGTTGGGGGGAGATTGGGACCGAAGCCACAGGGAAATACCCTTTTTCCTATCAAGTCGCAGCCAATTTATGGCAACCCCGTAGGGCTTTCGTGGCAAGAGACTTTCAGAGGAGGTCTCGTCAGTGCCTGTCTCTGCCTAGCAACCCGGGACCTCCTTGCCGGTCTCCCACCCAGGGCTACTTTTGGGCAGGAACGCACAGGAACTGAGTTCCGCCTGGCTCCCAAGTTGGCCACGCCCAGCAGGAACGCATTAGCATAACAGGTCACACCCAGCAGTAGAAACTCATTAGGATTGGCTACATTAGGGGTGTGTGGCCTAACATGCAAAGGAGTTCCTGCAAAAAAAAAGAGCCCTGGGTTTTGACAACAAACAAGGTAAACAGAATAAGAAGCAAAAGGTGGGTGTGGCTGGATGACCACACTTCTGGTAACATGGTGTGGGGGCCTAATATGCTAATGAGTGGTGCAATCAGGGGTGTGGCCTATTATGCTAATGAGTTTCTGCTGTTGGGTATGGCCTATTATGCTAATTTGCTGCTGGACTTTTCCTACAAAAAAAGCCCTGCTCCCACCCAAGTGTTCACCAGGGCCGACCCTGCTTAGCTTCATGACACCTCGTGGCTCAAAGCCTGCTCGTCTATGGCAGACCAACCACGGCCGCCTGCCTGAAATGACATTGCTGAAAAGACTCCCCCCGCCCCCGTCTAGTAGTCCATTCGTTCAGAGAGACCCCGACCCTCCTCAGGGGAGGGGGAAGGCTTCCCTCCTTTGAGTTCAGTTGTACACACACCCATCTCCTGCCCACAGACTTACCCGTGAAGGGGTCCCAGATATGGATGGCGCTGTCGCAGCTAACGGCGTACTGCGGCGCTTCCAGCATGCCGACATAGAAGACGGACTTCCTGTGCTGGGCGTAGGTCAGCCGGGGGCTGATCTCGTGGGTGCCGTCGCCCCGGCTGTAGAGAGGCCACAGGCAGACGGTCTTGTCTTTGCTGCCACTCAAGAAGAAGTCCTCGCCGCTGAGCGGCGCCATGCACTTGATGGCCCCCAGGTGGCCCACAAAACTCTGCAGCTTGATCTGGTGGAAGTGGAAGCGGGCGTCGTGCTGGCTCACCCCGATCTCGTACTGCCAGTAGGCCAGCCAGTTGCCGCACAGCAGGTGGGCGCTGCGCAGCAGCTCCTGCTTCAGGGCGCTCTCCTCCTTGCCCCCCGCGGCGAGGCAGAAGCGGCTGGGGCTGCCGGAGACCTCCTGCTGGGCTTCCACGGGGATCTGGATGCGGTTGCCCACCAACACGCTTCCGAAGGTGCCCGAATGGGTGTCCTCGCAAGGGCTGGAGAAGGGGTCCGCGCCCAAGGTGCTGTGCTCCAAAGGAGTCACGCCTGGCGAGGGCTCCTCGCTGGACGGGACGCTCGCCAAGTACTGACTCGCCAGACGGCCGACCGACGCGTGATTTGGGACGATGGTGCGGATGACGTCCCCTGGCCAGCAAGAGAGAATACCACAGCTGTACAGAGCAGGCCTGAACATCCAGACCACCCAAGCCGGGGGATCCTTGTTGGGCCAAGAGAGTGAAGACCGCTGAGGAGGCATCGGACAGGTTTCTCACCGCCTTCTCACAAAGCTCCCAGAAGCACCCCGAGAAAGCCAACCCACCAGTGGCTTAGCCCTACTCGGGGCAACCCGGACTGACCACACTTACGGTACTTGCAGTGCCAAAAGATGGAAGACAGTCGAGGGGCCCTTGGCCTGTTTCTCGGGGCCTTCTCAGCAACCTACAAGAAGTAGCCAGAGAAAGTGCCCACCCCCTTCCAGTGGCTTAGTCCTCCCCAGGGCAACCCCACCCACCGGAGCCTGGGGTTCTCACTGTGCCAATGCAGCTAGGCCGAGAGAGAGGAGATGACCCCACCCTGTTTCTCAGGGCCTCCTCAGCAAACTCCCAGAGAAAACTTCCACCACCAGCGCCTGCAAGTGACACAGTCCTACCCAGGGCCATGTTTTGACACTTCCTCTGCCCATGTTCAAAGCCACACGACAGCCTGGAGGAGGTGTGTGTGTTTGTGTGTGTGTGGGGGGGGGGGAGTGGGGGGGACAGGATGGTGAGCAAGTGAAGAAGCAGCAGTCACGTCTTACCTAGCAAGCAAGAGAAGGGCACGAAGGTGGAGTAAGCCATCTCAGGGCTGAAGACCTTCTGCAGCTCCTCCAGAGCAGATGGGTCATGGGGAAGCAGCCCTGCCTGGCCCATAGGCAGACCCTGGGCAGGAAACAAGCCGGTCAACCTACGAATGTCTGAAGGCTGCAGGAATCCTCCAGGAGAGAGGGCTCCACCTGCCTTCAGCAACTGTCACGAAGGGGGACACTCAGAAGATGTAGTTTTGCCCCATGTTTTGGCCCAGCGGAACCTGCTGAAATTCTTCTTCTGACCACCTCTGAGATGCACACGAGTCTCCCACGTGAACACTGCAACCCACAGTGAACTGAAGAACGTAAGAAGAGCCCGGCTGGATCAGGCCAGTGGTCCATCTAGTCCAGCATCCTGGCTCATACAGTGGCCAACCCGTTCCTCTGGATGGCCAACCACATGGCATGGAGGCTGAGGCCTTCCCCTGATGTTGCCTCCTGGCTCTGGGATTCAGAGGCTTAGGAGGACCTTGGAATATGGAGGTTCCCCTCAGTCACCATATGGCTAGTAGCCGCTGATAGACCGCTCCTCCATGAATCTATCCAATCCCCCTTTAAACCTGTTTATTCCTGTGGCCATCACTACCTCCCCTGGCAACGAAACCCACATTTTAATCATCTCTGTGTAAAGTGGTATTTCCTTTTGTCCATCCTGAACCTACTGCCCATCAGCTTCAGGGGATGCCCTGGCGTTCTAGTACTTTGGGAAAAGGGAGGAAAAATTTTTCCTTGTCAACCGTCTCCATTCCATGCATAACTTTATAAAACCTCTCTCGTGTCCCCCCGTTAGTCATCTCTTTTCTCAACTGAAAAGTCCCAGACTCTTCGGCCTTTCCTCCTAGGGAAGGTGCTCCAACCCCCTAATCATCCTGGTTGCCCTCCTCTGTCCTTTTCCCAGCTCCACAATGTCTTTCTTGAGCCTGTCCCAATGCCCCCACCACTACTTCTCAAGACTCATACACAAAGGTCCCTCTACGACTGAGATGTGTCTTGTTCTCATAGGACCAGGGCTGGGGTCAGCATACCCTGAGGTGCGGCAGCTGCCAGGACCCATGGACTCTGCCAGGGGCCCACTGCTCCTGACTCCCTATGCATCTCCTCCGATACCTGTACTCACACCCAACGCTCCCACAACTAGAAGCAAACTGATGGACCCCGAGCCTGATCCAGAAGGGTGCACCTTACATTCTTATTAGCTGAGGCACCTGAGAGAGGAACTTCCACAGACAGAGGCAGTACACCTTTGCACATATGCTCCCTCTAAGCTGTGGAGTCTTGTGAGCAAAAATTCTACCTTGTGAATTTTTACTGGCATTAAAGTTGTGAGCGAGCAATTTGGCTGCTGCATAAATCAGCTTGCTCTGAAGCCATCCTTCCTGAGCGAAGACAAAAATGGGTGAGCCGGAGGCTAAAAAACTGTGAGCTAGCTCACACTAACTCACCTTAGAGGGGACACACCCCTCCACTGCCCACTTGGGAGAGCTTTGCCACCCATGCTCCCAGATGTCCATGCTGCCTGATACTGAGGCAGGAGGGGATATGGGGCTGGTGCACAAAGCATCAGCACCCCGGTGGCCATGCACCCAGCACCATCAGGAAGAGGCCGTGCAGTCAGGGTGAGCAGCTGTGACAGCAGCAGGTGGGGGAGCCCGCAGCGGAAAGGTGCACAGGCAAGTGGGGGCAGGTGTGTAGAAGAAGAAGAGCAGGAGACTGGATTTATACCCCACCCTTCACTACCCGCAGGAGTCTCAGAGCAGCTCACAAACTCCTTTTCCCTTCCCCTCCCCATAACAGACACCCTGCGAGGTAGGTGGGGCTGAGAGAGCTCTTGACAGAAACTGCTCTTTTTCAAGAACAGCTCTTATCAGAACTACAGCTTGCCCAAGGTCATCCAGCCAGGTGCAAGTGGAGGAGTGGGGAATCAAACCCAGTTCTCCCAGATTAGAGTCCGCACACTTATCCACTACACCAAACTGGCTCTCTTGGGGATAATAAGGGGGATGGGGGGGGCTAGTCAGACCCATAGCCGGGGCTTTGGGGTTTTTTTTTGGGGGGGGGGACTTAAATTTTTAATGGGGCAGTTAGCTTACACTTAATTAAATTCATCTGAATTTAATTTAAAGGCTCCGAGCCTGTTTCTAGCCCTTCCTTTCAAGGGAAAGGGCAGCAAGCACGTAAGTTCTTAGGGGGGGGAAACAGCTCAGAGAATATTTAATTGCATTCAGAAGATATTTAAATGCCTTCTGAGTTCCCTTCCACAGGGCAAGGCGGCTTAGAAGGGCACTCAAGAGCGGCACCTTCGGTACATCTCCAACAATCCCCCTTTCTGCTAGCCCAGTCCTGCTGTAGATCACCCAGGTCATGGTGAGTGTTTAAAAAGAATCCCCATAAGCAAAACAAAAATAAGATTTCTGGCATGGCTATTTGTGGGGCAAGGCCCCGAAATGCCCCACTGTAGCTTACAGGCTTGGCTCTAGTGGGCATTGGGGGTGTGTGTGTAGTCCCTGGGCACTCTCTGCCCAGGCTCCACGAAACCTGAAACCAGCCCTGCATGGAAGGAACCTTTTTCTTGTGTCTTTGAGCCTCGATGGTTAACAAGGGTCAGCCCCGCAGAGGAAACAGCAGAGCCCACCCCACCCCTGCCAACTTACCTGCTCTGCCAGCGGCGATGAGAACGCCTCAAAGAACATCTGGAGGGTGCTACTTAGGTGTTGCTGCACCATTTCTGACCCGATCCGCAAAGCGACTAGTGCCACGAGGCTGATGCCCTTGATGCACAAGATAAGCCGGGCCTGGACCCCACTAGGGAAACTGAAGCAAGGAAACAAGGTCAGACACCAGCCTGCCCAGTGGGCATCCCAGGGTCTCCTGCCCAGACCTTCACCCTGACGTCTGCAAAGTAAAACACTTTCCAAACTAGAAAGCATTTTTCAGTGCTTTTATCCCCCCCCCAAGGTAAATGTTTCGTTTCTAAAGGCTCATTTTTCATAAAATTAACAACAATTGACCATTCCCAGTACTATATGAGGCAGGCTTGGGAAGTTTCAGTGTTGTAATTAATGCTCTAGGAATGGTGTAAAAGAGTATAGGATGTTTTGTTTACTTGTAAATGGTGGGTGGGTGGGGAAGCCACAGGTCGCCCAAATGAAAAATCAAGTTATGAATTCAGCTGATTCCAAACCAAAAGCACAGCCAACATTCTTGTGTGCAAGTCTATCTTCTTGCACATGACGGAGGAGATGTTATCACATTCGGTTTGATACTCAGCTAATGCGTGATGCAAGTGAGGCTGTATCAGCAGTGACAGAGAAACTGAAGTGCCCCAAAGAATTCTGCCGAAGACAGTTAAATTCTGTTAAGAGATAAGTGGACACCCACGCCCAAGCCGTATCATTCACAGCTCTTTGGGTGTGCTAAAGTGAGGGAGACAGCCGCTTCCAAGGTCATAACTCTGTGTGTGCTTAATTTAAACAACATATGGGAAGTACGTGTTTTATTGTCTTGAGTTTTTACAAGTATTATTCTGTTCCAATGCAGATCATTTCCACATAAAGCTTTGCACTGTTTGAACCAGACTTGATCAATATTTCCTCCTGATCAAATTTTTTCAGGCCCAATAAATTGTTGCTATTGGTTCCTAAAATCAACATGGCGTATTTTTAAAACTTCCTTTGCTGAACAAGTCCAAGAAACTGTGCTAAAATCAGACTGCACTCTTTGCAAGGCACTGGCTAACATTCTGGAAAGGTTTCTGGACAATTTTCCAATCCTAGTTTTTCTGGGAACCCCACAACCTGCCTTTCACAGCGCCCGTACTGGAATCATACAAGCTCAGCCCGGGCTCACCAAGAACCTGGGAACTAAGCAGGTTGGCCACAATCAGTACTTAGACGGGAGACCGCCAATGAAGATTCTGCAGAGGAAGACAATGGTAGTAATAACAATAATAATAATTATTATCATATGGCAGTCAATGCTCCCTCTAAGCTGTGGAGTCTTGTGAGCCAAAATTCTAATTTGTGAGTTCCTGGCATTAAGGTTGTGAGTCGGCGATTTGGCTCCTGCAGAAAACGGTCTGCTCTGGAGCCGTCCATCCTGAGCGAAGACAAAAATGTGTGAGCCGGAGGCTAAAAAACTGTGAGCCGGCTCACACTAACTCAGCTTAGAGGGAACAGTGATGCCAGTGTGTGTTGTATAGCCAGGAGATCCAAAGATTGTCTTGCAGCTTCAAACTCTAGCTCTTTTTGTGGTGAGCTAGGTTTATTTTGGGGGCTGAGAGAACTGTGACTGACCCAAAGTCACCCAGCAAGGTCTGTAAGGCAGAGATGGTCTGCCAGGCATTTGGTTAAGGACAGCGATGATTTCCATCTGGCTGGCGCTCCTGTTTCCTGCCTCCCCCCCACCAAGGCAGCGGCACAACTGGCTGTTTTAGAACAATAAGTTGTTGTAGATTTTCCGAGCTGTATGGCCGTGGTCTTGGCATTGCAGTACCTGACGTTTCACCAGCAGCTGTGACTGGCATCCTCAGAGGTATAACACAGAAAGATGGAGTACTCTCTGTGTCAATGTGAGAAGAAAAATAGTAGGCAGGTAATTTATATCTACTCAGGAAGGTGGGGTAGGGCTGAGTCATTCTCTTGTAGGAGTTTCCCAGGCTGTGACATGCTAATGGAGGAGCTTTCCTGAGGAGGTTCTTTTGCATATGGATTGGCTGTGGAAATTCTAATCTTACCTGTAGTGCTGTTGTAAGATGTTGAGCATTTTGTGTTTTTCAGGGCAGGAAACTGTGCCCTATTTATTTTTAAACTCTCTTCTTTCCTGTTGAAATTGTGTTTATGTTTATGAACTTTAATGGCTTCCCTGTGTAATCTGACATGGTAATTGGATGTTTTGTCCAGCATTTCAGTGTCTTGGAATAAGATACTGTGTCCTGTTTTAGAACCATCTAATTAATCACTGGACTTTATCGTTTTTAGCTATGAATTTAATGTATAAATGTTGTTTTTATTGTACACCACCCTGAGCCCTGTTTTACAGGGGAGGGCGGTCTAGAAACCAAATATTATAAATAAATAATAAATTTAATAAATGTGGAGGGGTGGGGAATCGAACCTAGTTCTCCAGTTTAGAGTCCGCTGCTCTTAATCATGACACCAAACTGGCCCTCTAAGGCAATGGTAAGCCCCCTTTGCTCACCTCTTGCCTTTCATACCCGATGGGATCCCCATAAATTGGCTGCAATTGGACGGCACTTTCTACCCCCCCCCCAAGACTCACCTGATGGTTGGCGAAGTGAGGAAGCCAAGAACAGGCAGCAGGATCTCCTGGCTGATTTTCGGCAGGATGTCCATCAGGGTGGTGTCCGAGAGGTAGACTACGATCTTCTGGGTCAGTGTCACGGCAGCCAGGAGACCGGCTTCTTTGCGGCTGTTTAGCCGGCCAGCGCCTGCCCCAGTGCTAGGGGTCACCTGGAGCGAAGAGAGACACCCCAAATTCGTGCCCTCGCCGACCACAAAATGATGTTAGACAGAAATCAAGAGCCAGACCGCACGCCGACCATAACACACCAGGGAGTCCCGGTCAAAACCACGTGAGAGCGCAGCCAATGGTGAGGCAGGCACAGGTGGCAAGAGAGACTTGTGGATGGGCAGCCCGAGGCCCATCAGGTCTCCGGGATGCAAAACAAGAGTCCATCCCCAGAGGCCTGGATGCTCTGTACAAGGGCTGCAAGGATTTCCTGAGAGCCAAAACTTAGGAAGTTGATCAGAGCAGAGATCAACATCTCCTCTGGACTCTTCCATTCAGCATCCCAGGGCTCTCTCCCCTGTGAATTGTGGGGCTTGTGGGACAAGTTCTACAGACAGCCACTTTCCTTTGCCACCGCCCCGCCATCAACTTGATCACACTCTTCAGCTCACTGTGTGGCTTTCTCACTCCTGTTTCTAGAGATGCAGTAAAGAATGGGAGGAGGAACAGGGGCTTTTTGAAAAAGCGGAATCCCATTTCCTGATTCCTAAACCCAGTGGCGTAATTTGAACCTCACCACCGTTGATTCACTCGACTCTTTTCCAAAATGCTTCTTTCTACCACAGGGTACAGGGCCATTTCCTCTCCCTGGATCACTAAATGTGATCCCGGGGCGGTGGGAGACAGAATGTGCTCCTGCGGATCTGGTGCATAAACAGCGCAGCAGCATGTAAGGCAGCAGCCCAACCCCTCATAACTCCAGCCAGAGACTTGAACGTGGCTCTCTGGTTGAATATAAGCCAGTGTCACCTTCGACAGAAGCCACGCAGGAACTTCAAGAGGAGGAAATGAAAGTCTCCATCTGGCCATATCAGGCACACAACAGGGGAGGCATACAGACAAAGGACACTAAATGCTACTCGACAGTAATTTTGCAGACAGCATGTGCAAGGCGCTGTACTGGAGAGGGTACAGGCAGTCCTCGGGGCATAGAGTACCTATTAGCGATTCTTTTTGTAATAATTTCCAAGCACTGCCTGGGATCTGTGCCCTGGAGGAGAGTTGGAACCATGCTTTGTGCTTTACAAAAACCCTCAAGCCTCAATTCCGGGCAGCCAAACCCTCTGATTTTAATTTGCATCTACTGCTCCCTTTGATCCTGCTAATGTCCCTCCCTCTGGGCCACTGAACAATGGCCGCATGTATCCTAGCTAGTCCTTGGAGTCATACAGTTAGAAGATTTTTTTTTCCTTTGGGAATTTTGCTTTTTGACAAAGTGTTTGAAGCCAGGGTTCTTCTCTGCGTGCACAGAACAATTCCCGCAGCAAGGGACAGAGACGGCCCAAGAAGGGCCCCAGGAGCCAAGCGCCATTTGAATATCACAGGCCCAGGAAGAAGGCAAGGGACTGAGTGGGAGACCAAGAAGATAGGAGGAAAGGTTGAGGGGGACCAATGTCTCAACTCACTGCTGGATGCAGATACTGACCAGGTAGCTGAGATACGGGAGGTACAGGTAGGTGAGGACAGGCTCTCCATACAGGTGCGCTATATGCATCAGACAAGCCAGCACCGGCTTAGACACAACGTCCCCCAGCACTGGTCGCTTCTGGTAAATGCTTCCAGCGCTCAGAGGGCTGTTCTCTTCTGTGCCAGCCACAAACTGTTGCCTGTGGGGACCTGCCAGGGAGAAAGAGAACATAAGAATGTAATAGAAGCCATGATGGACAAGGCCAATGGCCCATCCGGTCCAACACTCTGTGTCATACAGTGGCCAAAACCCAGGTGCCATCAGGAGGTCCACCAGCGGGGCCAGAAGCCCTCCCACTCTTGCTCCCCAAGCACCAAGATTACAGAGTATCCCTGCCTCAGACATAATGTTCCATCTATATACCTTGTGGCTAATAGCCACAGATGGACCTCTTCTCCCCTCTTGAACCTGATTAAAGATCCCAGCTGGGAAATGAAACAGCAGTGGCACTCACACCCTCCTGCCCCACAGCCTTCCCCCTCCTGCCCCGGAAACCTTACCAGCATAGCAAGAGATCAGCAGCCGGAGAAGGTTCCTGGCGATGTAGCGGCAGGTCGTGGTGGGGCCCAGCCTGGCAGAAAGCCACCTCACTGTCTTGTTGGCTGTGTCTTGGGAGCCGAGAAAGGTAAAAAGGGTAAGCTGCCCAGCGCCCCAGCCACACCCTCAGCCTACTGCTCACCAGGGGTCATTTCCTGCGGGAGCACATAGGACTGGAGCTTCGGCAACAAGAAGCCCAGGGGGTGGGCACATGCAACAAGCCCTGCCCCCTGCTCCCAGCAGCCCTCAATCAGGCCACAAGGAGCAAGAAGCAGCCAGGTAAGTTGCAGGGCCTTCAGGTACAAGCTCTCCCTCCTCTGTGAGGGCAGATCTGTGTGTCCTCCCCCCCATAGCTAGCAATCCAAAACAGTCCAGTGGCACCTTTAAGACCAAGTTTTATTCAGGTACAAGCTCTCCCTCCTCTGCGAGGACAGATCTGCACGTCCCCCACCCCCCCAAAGCTAGCAATCCAAAACAGTCCAATGAAGCCTGAGCAGTGGGTGTTACCTTCTGACACACTTCCGGTGATGTCAGGGGGCATGGCATATGCAAATAAGGTATGCTAATGAGCTATGCTAATGAGCTCCTGCACTTCTTTTTCTACGAAATGACCCCTGCCGCTCACTACAGGCCGTCATCCCGATTCATACCTGCACCTCAACTCGACAGATCCTTCGCAAGAAAAAGGGCAGATCAAACTAATCAGTATGAAAGAGCAGCAGAGAGAACCCCGGTTCCAGGGTGGATGCCAGCTCCTACCGCCAAGCAACGAATAAATATACACTGCAAGAAACTTCTGTAAATTAATGTGTTCTGCTTATAATTAACATTCTATAAAGTGCACTATGTATTCTTATCAACATCCTGATCAGGTATATCTATATATCTAACAGCCAAGTTGCCCCCTCCGTGCGGATATCTAAATCAGCACATTGGGGGCACTTGAGTGGCAGAGAGATTTTCCTGCACACTTGGAGCAGTCCCCAGGTGTGCAGAAAAATCTGAAAAGTTTAAAAAACTATACGAGGGATACTTAAATCCCCCCGTCCCCGGCCTCTGTCGTCCCCCTCGCTGACATTCTGCTTCTCTGGGGCTGCCGCATCCTCATGGCGCCGGCCCCTGCCCGGCCCCGTCGCCTATCCTCGCAGCCTCCCTTCCCCAGCTCCTGGCAGCGGCGTCCACTCACAGCGTTCGCCTCCCACCTCCCATCCAATGGCATGCCAGCAGCCTTGAGCGGCAGTTGGCAGGCCAATGGCTGATGGTGCGCATTCTTTCTCCGCTCCCTTACTCAATTATATATAAGGAGATGTGTGTGTGTGTGTGTATATATATACCTGATTAGGATGTTATAAGAATACACAATGCACTTTATAGAATGTTCATTAATTCACAAGAGTTTCTTGCCGCGTATATTTATTCGTTACCTGACTTTCCTGACACTGCAGTTTGGGTTGCTACAGCTCCTATCGCCAGGCACAGACAATGGCTCTCTGTGGCTACTTGCATTTTGCAAAGCCAAGCCTCATCTGCTGCCTCTGCCCACAAAAGAACCCAACTGCCAACTTCCAGATAGGGCCTGGAGATCTCCCAGAATTATACCCCCAATCCCCAGAGACTGGTTCCTCAGGAGAAAACGGCTACTTTGGAGGTTGGATTCTCTGGCATTACACATCACAGAGGTCCTTCCTTTCACCCCACCCCCCCAAACCTCCAGGAATTTCCCAACCCAGAGCTGGTAACCCTACCTGGGCCCCTCTAGCCCACCTGCTTCTTTCACGCATAGGTGTGCAACTGGGGTCTGCTGCTGCTGGACTCCAGAGTTTGTTTAAAAAAAGGAAAACAGGGTCCAGATCGGGACTACACAACTTGCAGTTCCCGCCATGGCCTCTTAGTGGCGCCCTCCCCCCAATTCCTCTGTCACAGGCAAGCCGCAAACGCAGGAGGTTTCCTGACCCCCACCCCACCCCAAGTTGCCACTTGAGACACTTCCAGCCTGCACTGTACTGCTCTGAAAATTACGGAGCAGTGGGGGTTTTTTTTTTAGTTCTGAGTTCCCAAGACTGGGCTAGCTTTACAAAACAATGTCAAATGGGGGAAGATTCCAATTTTTGAACAGGAACCTCCGGGCAAAGGGTTTGGTTTGGGTACTGCAGAAAGCATTCTCAAGAGGGACGAGGGTGGCTCACCTAGCAAGATTGTCTGCTCCTTATCTCCGTCGTGGTCGGGCAACTCCTGTTCGGACTTATCAACCACCTCTTCCTCCTCCTCCTCCTCGGCCAGGCGGGCTTCCACAGACACTGGGAGCTCTTCTGCGACCAAGGGAGCGTCCTCCTGGTCCTCCTCCCTGTCCCCCTGGCCCTGCTCGTCCTCCTCTTCGCTGTGCTTCAGATCTTGGCTGCTGTCCAGGGACTCCAGGCTGGCCTTGTCCTTCAGGGACTCCCCGTCGGCGGCTGGCCGGTCCTCCCCCAAGGAGACCTCGCTGGCGCTGCTCTTGTCACTCAGGTGCCCCAGGCTCAGGGACTCCGGCTCCTGCAGGCTCTCTGCCACGTACAGCCCGTTCTGGAAGTCCTCGCCCTCTGGCAGGTAACCCTGGTCATGCAAGCTGATGCCTGACATGTAGTCCAGCAGCTCCAGAGCCCCCGAGCCCCGGTCCGCGTCGCCCTTGATCTCCTCCCCAAAGGATCCAGGCACGGGGCTGCCCTCCCCGCTCTCGTCATCCTCTGCCGCTCCCAACAGCAAGGCCCCGTTCTCCTCCTGGGCAGAGCCCTCCACCCCCACCAGGACCTGCAGGATGTGGGGCAGCAGGTGGGAGAGGAACAACTGCAGCCCCAGGCGCGTCATGAGCTGGGCCACGAAACAGTCGGTGTACAGGTAGAAGCGCCCGTGCAGGCCGCGGGGGCTCTCGTAGGCGGAGATCAAGAGCTTCAGCAAGTACTTGTGGGAGTTCTTGGGGCCCAAGGCCTTGGCGATGGGCTCAAAGAGGTACCAGGCGGCATGGACGGCCGTCTTCTCCTCCGACATCAGGGCCAGGACGAAGGGCAGCAAGATCTCCAAGCCCTCCGGGGTATTGTCCTGCAGCACTCCTTCCAGCTGCTGCCACAGCTGGAACACCAGCTCACGCCCTTGCCCCTCGTCTTCCGCCCTCCTGGACAGGTAGGTGAAGATGAACTTGTGCAGAGCTGGGAAGTAGGGCGGGAAGGGCAGGACGGCCCCGAAAGGGCTCAGCAGCTGGGAGGGGCACGGGGGAGGGAGGCCTTGCCAGATGGGCTCGTAGGCGAACAGCGGGGTCTCCCCCGAGCCCGCCAGCTCCCCCCAAAGCTGCGCATCCGGGATGCTCAGCCTCAGCAGCGTTTCCAGCAGATGCTGAAGTGGAGCTGGGATCTCCTTTGGGTGATACTGGCAAAGCCTCCAGGCCACTTGGAAGCGTTCCGACAACGTGGCGACCGGCTTCACGGCCCGCAGCTTGGAGGCAAAGATGATCTCGGTCACCAGGACCCCCAGCGCCTGCATGTCCCTTTGGAACAGTGCCGAGAGCCCCAACGGGGGCGTGGGCAGGGGCTGCTCCGGCTCCGGCAGTCTGCCGTGCAAGCCCTTCAGGATGAAAGCGTCCAGCCGCTCCAGCTCCTCCACGGCCTGCAGCACATTGCAGCCCTCCGGGAACACAATCTTCACATCGGCTGCTTCCGCCTGCGCGGGGGCCTTGGCCCTGCGGCCGAGATGCTTGCCATCCACAGGGGCCCCAGCAGGCTGTGCGGAAAGTATGCCGGGAGTGAGCGGCTCTACCCCTCTGCCCGCCACAGGAATGGCCTCCAGGGCCTCAGCTCCTTGCTCTACCTCCAAGAAAAGCCCGCCAACACCATCAGCCAGCTGGTCCTTCAGGTCCTCTAGGACTCTGGTCTCCTCCACCGGGGGGATGAGCGGCTTCACAGCCAAGGGAGCTTCAGCCGGAAGGAGCAGAGGCCCCGCCAAGCGCCTGGGGTGGGGCTGGCTGAAGAGCTGCACGACCCCGTAGCTGGTCAGGTGGGTGTGGTTGTCCACCAGATGGAGGCAGACGTTCTTCTCCCGGACCGCGTCCTTCCCCACCAGCTTGTAGCCGAACGTCAGGTCGATCCAGTGGTGGAGGTCCTGAGACACCTCCCAGCTCTCCAGCAGAGCCCGGTGGGCCGCCACAAACCCCTCGCAAGAGCCGCACCAAGCTGGCACTTCGAGGTCCAACATGTCCGGGTGGATGGACTTGAAGATGGTGGGGTCCGAGTAGAACTCCGGGATGCATTCGTCCGGGGTCCAGGCCTGCATGCGCTCCATATTGGCCGGGTACTCGTTGGGCTCCCACTGGGACCTCACGTGGGAGCACAGCACGGCTTTGGGAGTCCGCCGGGCTGTGTAGACGTAGTAGGTGATATCCGAAAGTACGTCCGAGATGTGGTGGGGGACATGAGGCTGCTCTCCCCCCAGGCCCCCTCCGGCCACAAAGGCCTGCTTGGTCATCTCGTAGGTGAAGTCGAGCTGCTTGTCGCCCTTGTTGAGGCGGAACTTGGACTTCCGCAGGTCCCGGAACCTGCCGTTTTTGATGGTGAAATCCACCACCCACGGGAGAACCGGGTGATAGTTGGGGTCTCCCACCCGCCGCTCCGCCAAGCGGGTCAGATGCATGAGATAGTCAAAGTTGCTGAGCCGGCCGTTTACCCAGTCCAGCATGAGACCCCCAAGTCCCTCCAGGGGAGCTGCTGGTTTCTCCACGGGGCCGCTTTCCCCCGCCGCTGGGCCCCCGCCAGCACTGCCACCTGCGGCTTCCGTCCCTTCTTCCCCTGGCGTTTGCTCGTAATCCTGCAGGTGAACCCGGAGCTGAGCGCACAGCTTTTCGTCCACAGCCACTTCGTGCAAGGAGAAGGCCCCGCATGCCAGCCCCGCCCCGTGGCAAGCTTGCATGGCCTGAAGAATCTGGAAGAGGATGAAAAGGAGCTTGGCGTGGCTGTTGGAGAGCTTGGCGGGGCTGAAGGTGACAATGTCGTGCAGGGAGTACTGCACATAGGGGAAGAGCACGTAGAGCATTTCCGAGGACTCTAAGATCACTTCTGCTGGGAGGACGCTAGGGCAGGGCTGTCGGCCCCTGCTGGGCGAGCCCCACTCTTTGGCAGGAGAAGGGCAGGACACGCTCCTTCCCACTTGGACTAAAGGGCAACCATAGAGTTTCTGGAGGGCAGTGCGAAGCACCTCCAAGACGGGGGCGATGGGTGGGTCGTGGGCGTGGCAGTAGGGCTGCACGAACCAGCGATGGGCTCGGGCCCACAAGTTCCGGTAGTTCTGCGAAGCCACGTTCTGCATGAACCTGTGCAGGGTCTCCGGCCGTCCCTTGGGGTCGCTGTGCGTGCCGTGCGTCGTGGCCAGTAGGTAGCGCAGCCGGTCTTTCCTCAGCCCGTGGACCTCTACCCTGGTCCAGCCAGGGGGCAACTTCTGCACTGAGCGCTGGAAGCAGGTGCGCACTTCCGCCTCGCTGAGACCCTCGGGACGTGGGCACAGGCTGGGCAGCACCCCCCGCTCCTTCAGGCTCGCCAGCCACTTAGCGGGCACCAACGCGACCACGTGAGCACTCTCCGGGGCTGCAGCCAGCTGGCTGCGGTCGATGCCCAGGTCTTTCTCCACATGCTCCAGGAGGCTCTCCATTGTGGAGGGGAAGAGGGCTTCAAATCATCCCCTGCGGAAAACACAGAGAGTCAATGAGGACGACGTCAGAGAAGATGTGCCCCCCTCCCTCCCTTCCAATCTTCGACAGGTGGAGCCCGGGGCAAGGGCCTTCTCTGTGGCTGCCCCCCCACTTATAAAACTCCCTCCCCAGAAATATTCAGATGGCACTTCACAGACTGCCTTTTCAGCACCAAACTCAAAAGTGACAGCGGCCTAGTTAGCCCGAGCTTCTCAGCGTTTGGGAGCTAGGCGGGGTCTGCTGCAGCCAGTCCTTGGACGGCAGGCTGCCGATGAAGATTTGGGTTGCTACGCAGAGGCAGGCAATGGCAAACCACCTTGGAACATCTCTTGCCTGAAGCACCCCACGGACGTGGTGGCCATGAGTCGGCTGTGACTCAATGGCATGCTCTCCTCCTTCAGACATTATACATTAAGCCTCTGATGGAGGTGTTATGGTATCTGCTACTGCTTACTGATTCCTAGTGGCTCCACTGCTTTCCTGACTGGTCAGTTATTTTAACAAAAAAGAGGAACTTTTAAAAAGCGGTTTATGGGTTTAAGCTTTCGTTAGCCTCTTTGCAGACTTTTTAAACGAGGCCAGACCAGGATCTTTGAACTATTCCAAGAAAGCTTCTCAGAATCTACGCATACCCCCTACAACCCACCTCCCCATTCCATACTGCCCCACAGCCGGGGCTATAGGGATGCTCTAACTCCGTGCCTGGGATGGGGCAGTAAACTCAGCCTCCAGAGTATTTTGTTGCAAAAAAAACCCCAAACTTCTCGGCCTCATGAGTGGGAAGGGGGTTCCAGTGCCCTTGGTCAGGACTGAGCCAGAATTATGGGGAGGAACAAGAATTTCTGTCAAAATCTGACCCTTTCCTGCAGCTCTGAATGGACCCTGAACACATGAGCCTTTGTGAAGCTGCGCAACAATACAGACCAAGTAGCCTCTTTTCCAGAATGTACCTTTATCTCATTCCTTCCCCACCCTTCCTCCAAAGAGCTCAGAGCACCATATATGGCTCTCCCTTCCTCCATTTTGTCTTCACACCCACCCTGCGAGGTAGGTTAGGCTGACAGAAACCCAAGTCACCCAGGGAGCAGCATGGCTGAGCCCGGGTTTGAACCTGGGGCCCACAATCCCAGCCCAAACACCACACCACACTAGCTTACACTCAGAGTGGTGCCCCGCCGTCTTGCTCCGTGGCTTGCAAAGGCTAGGGTTGCCAAGCTCCAGGTGGCACCTGGAGCTCTCCCGCTATTATAGTTGCTCTTCAGATGACCAAGATCAGTTCCCCAGAAAATGGCTGCTTTGGCGGGCAGACTCTATGGCATTACACCCTGGTTAAAGCCCCTGCCCTGCCCAAACCCCGCCCTCCCCAGGCTCCACGCCCAAATCGCGAGGAATCTCCCAACCCAGAACTAGTACCCTAAGCAGAGATACAAGGCTCAGCCGGGAGGGGAAGAGTACTCTAAGTATGCCCAGGTGCACGTACTTCTTTAGGAGAAAAACGAGCAAGTTCCGGTGAGGCTAACGGAGGGGGCGGGGGGCGTGTACGGTTAAAAGGGGCGTTTTGGGAGGGGGCCATTTTAGCAAACGGAGTCCCCCTGAGCCCCGGAACAACAGCGGGGCGGGGAGGAAAGCTGTGCCAGGCGCCGCAGAAGGCTGCGGCCCCTCAGTCCAAGGCTTCTCCAGCCCGGCCCGGCCCGATTTCTCACCGGTTTGCTGTCGGAAGCCACTCTGCACGCGCTCAGAGGGCGAGGCGCCCGAAAGCGGCTTCTAGCTTCGGCGGGCGGGCAGCGGCGGCGGCTGCTTGGGTCCCGGCCATGTTGAGTCAGCTGATGCCACCGGTCACGTGGCGCCGCTTCCCGGGAAAGACACAAACGCCACGTGGCTGGGAGGGGGCGACTCCCCCGCCCCTTCTGGGCCAGCGCGGGAAGGAGCTGGGCAGCCTCGGGACTCCTCCGCGTCGCGGGGACGCTTTCTCTTCCGGCTCGGTCCCGGGGTGGGAGCTCCGGGCAGCGTGGAAGCATCCCGGGCACATCACGCTCCTCTGCACGCACGCTTAGCGGGCCGTGAGGAAGTAGGGATGCCAGCCTCCAGGTGGGACCTGGGGATCAATGTTCCCTCTAAGCTGTGGAGTCTTGTGAGCAGAAATTCTACTTTGTAAGCGACTGGCATTAAAGTCGCAAGCGAGCGATTGGGCTGCTGCGTAAATTAGTTTGCTCTGGAGCCCTCCTTCCTGAGCTAAGACGAAAATGTGTGAGCCGGAGGCTAAAAAACTGTGAGCTAGCTCACACTAACTCAGCTTAGAGGGAACACTGCTGGGGATCCACCGGAATCTCAGTTTATCTCCAGCCTGCAGAGATCAGTCCCCCTGGAGAGAGAGGGTGCTTTGGAGGGTGGACTCTGTGGCCTTGTACCCCACTGGGGTCCCTATCCTCCGCAGGCTCCGTCCCCAAATCTCTAGGAGTTTCCCAGCCTGGATCTGGCAACCCTATCGAAGGGCCCCGCTCGCAACAGGGCTTTCTGCGGAGGTAACGCGCCTCGGGTCGGGCTGCTAGAAGGGGGAGCGCGGGATTCTGCTTCCCTCGTCTGCAAGGTTCCAAACCTGGGCGCGATGCCAGACCCGGGCCTCCTGCGGGAGGAAGGCCACCCCCTCCTCATCTCCGGCTGAATGTCTCCACCCAGCTCAGTGCCCAGGACCATGAAGGCTAGACGCCCAGGGGGCTTGCCTTCACACACCCCACGTCTCGCCAGCAGGCCATTTTATAGTGTGGAAACATTTTCTCTGAACATGTGCGGAGCGCATTTCTCTCTCGCCACCACTGAATAGGGTTGCCAGCTCTGGGTCGGGGAATACCTGGGCATTTGGGGGGTGGTGGAGCCTGGGGAACGCGGGGTTTGGGGAGGGGAGGGCCCTCAGCAGGGTCTAGTGCCATAGAGTCCACCCTCCAAAGCAGCCCTTTCCTCCGGGAGAATTGATCTTGGCCGGCTGGAGATCAGTTGTAATAGCAGGAGGTCTCCCGGTGCCACCTGGAGGTTGACTACCCTACCACCGAATCCTCACAATTGCCGAACGCCCCCTACCTTTCATTTAAAAAGACTGCACTAGGGGGAGAAGGCAACTGGAAACAACACTCTTGGCCTAGGACGGCTCTCCTCCATTGCCTGTATTTAAGCCGTAGGAAAGAGCACGCCTATTCCTTCTGGTCTGGTTAAGAAGTGAGCCCCACAGAGTTCTCTAATTACCCATGAGCATGTGGAGGAATGTTTGGTGGCAGTGCCCCCCCCCCTTATTTTTGCCTTCCCATCCCATAGTGGAGTTACTCTTGGCCTGTGCCTTTGAGAGAGTCTGCTTTTATTCTGCACATTTTGCTACTGCCAACCAGCTGCAAATGAAAACAGCCATCTAGTTCTCAGACTAAATTCTCTGTCATTCATTCTACTCTAGATCCAGTTGCTCCGGCCTATTGGCCCATCTTTGCTTGGAGAAGGCAAATCGTGGCTCTCCCATAACCCCTTGCGCCTGGAACAAGATGACTTGAAGAGTTAGTCCGAGGGTCAGGCTGTGGGCAGGTATGCGGGAAGCCCTCTCTCTGTCCCTGGGAATCTGCTACCAAGAGAAGGCAAGGTGGCGCAAAATGGCCTGTCTCTGTCTCAAGGAGTTTTACGTGTTCCTCTATTTATTTATTTGTTTAACTTCATTTATACCCAGCCCTTCTCCCCATTGGGGACTCCAGGGAGCTAATGTTGTTTTCCTCTAGTTTATCCTCACAGCATCCCTGTGAAGTAGGATAGGCTGAGACTATGACTACTGGCCCAGTGTCAACCTGTAGGCTTCCATGGGAGAGTGGGGATTCGAACCCAGGTCTATCAGATCCTAGTTCAACACTGTAACCACCATACTGATACTGTGACTAAGGTTAGACCTCCATGCTTTATGCAGGATAGTCCTTCTGTCCATCCAGACACGTACTCCCAAGTAGGTGGGCACAGGTTCACTAGCCAAGCTGCCACTGGTATGTTTGGGAGGAAACCAGTGCGCTCACTAGACTGCGTAAATGCACCCTAATCAGGCTACCGCCCTCTGCGTCATTACTTGGGAAGAAGCCCCACTGAACTGTGTGTAGCTTCTTTCTGATGACTGACATGATTGAGGTTTATAAGATTATGCATGGGAAAGAGCAGGTAGAGAAAGAGGTACTTTTCTCCCTTTCTCACAATACAAGAACTCGTGGGCACTCCATGAAATTGCCGAGCAGTCAGGTTAGAACGGATAAAAGGAAGTACTTCTTAACCCAAAGAGTGATTAACACTTGGAATTCACCGCCACAGGAAGTGGTGGCGGCTACAAGCATGGACGGCTTCAAAAGGGAATTAGATAAGCATAGGGAGCAGAGGTCCATCAGTGGCTATTAGCCACAAGGTATAGATAGGGGCTCTGGGGCAAGTGATGCTCTGTCATCTTGGTGCTTGGGGGGGGGGGTCAACAGTGGGAGGGCTTCTAGTGTCCTGGCCCCACTGGGGGACCTCCTGATGGCACCTGGTATTTCTGGCCACTGTGTGATACAGAGTGTTGGACTGGATGGGCCTTTGGCCTGATCCAACATTGGCGTCTCTTATGTTCTGAGCAAACATACACAGATGAAACTGTGCCTCGGTGGAGAGGGTTGCCCTGGCATTAATCTAGCCGTGGTCATGTTGAAGGAAGGAAAAATGTTAAGATATGTTGGGACGCGTCTCTAGGCTGCCAGACCTTTCCTCACGTTCCCTGGGGCCAGCTCCTGGGGGGTAGTGCTTGGAGTAGAGGGGGCCCCAGGGGGTGGCTGCCAGCACAGCACTCACCTGTTCCGACAGAGGAGGGTTTGGCCACAGGTCAGGGGTCCCAAAGCATGGGTCATGGCCCCACTGAGCTCCAGGAAAAGGAGAGGGGGTTGCCAGAGAGGTTGTCCTATTGGCCTGTTGTAGCAAA